ATATAAAAAGGCTTTATAATAGAGTATAATATATTCTATAGTTCTAAATTATATAGTAATATTATTTTAAAGAAATAAAATATTTATTAAATTACTACTCTATTAATTTAAAAGCTATCTATAGGACTTCTCTAACTTATTAAAAAATATAGTATTATTTAATACTCTTACTATATTTAGGATCCCCTTAGTTATAATTAGTATATTAAGGCTAGCTTTATATACCTCTTTTACTTATAATAAAACTTTTTTCTTTTTTAGACTTACTTTAGATCTATAATAGTCTATTAATATCCTTTAGTTCTTATAGGTATAATTTAAGCTATAGTTCTTAAGTTTAGTAAATTTAGTAGTTATAGAAATAACCTTAAGGGTAATAGCTTATTAAATTAATATCTTAAGAATTTACTAAAAGAGCTTATTCTTATAATTAAAAATACCTTTAATCTTATTTCTATTTTTAAATTTAGTTTATATTACTATATCTAAAGATAACTACTTAATATTAAATATCTAAATATCTTCTTAGTTATTAGTTTTATAATCCTCTTCTATAGTAAGATTTAAAACTCTATCTATTCTTAATTCTAATAAATTAGTTACTATACTAAGTATAGTAGTAATAGTTTTTAGTTTCCCTCCTCCTTAGGAATATAATAAGAGTTCTAAATCTTATTAAATATATTTAAGTTAGAGATAATATAGGGAAGGAGGGTTATAAACTAATTAATAAAGAAACTAAAAGTATATTTTAATAAGTATTAAGTAGTATAGTAATAAAAATTACTATTAATCTATCTATTTATATAGCTAAGCTTTATCTTAGTATAATAGATAAAAGAACTACTAAGGATTAAGCTTTTTAAAGTTTTATTAGATAGGCTAATAAAGAAACTTATATTAAGTATATAGTAACTATTAATATATATATCTTCTATAATAGTACTTATAAACTATAATTCTAATATAATATCTATAAAGTTTCTAATTATAACTAAAGTTAGTATAACTCTACTTTAAAATCTATTAAAGTTAATATAGTCTTTAGATATAATATTTACTATAAAGCTAGTATTAATAATTCCTAACTATTCTTTAGCTAAATAATATCTAATTTAAATAACTACTTAAAAGTAAGGTATAATAAAGTTATATATAGTAACTATATACCTTCTACTAGAGTAGAATATAACTTTAGGTTAAGGTTACTAGAAGTTTTTTATAACTAAAACCTTAATATTAGTTAGTTTAAAGTCTTATAGTATTAGTATATCTACTATATTTATATTAATATAATAACTTCTTCTAATAAGTTATAGCTCTTCTATTAGTATATTAGTACTACTTTTTATAGATCTAAAACTACTATTCTTAAGCTACTATAAGTTAGCTCTATATTCTTTATCCTATTTCCTTATAAGTTTCTTAATACTTACTTCTTAGCTTTTAACTTATATATAAGTATTAGTTAAAGCTAAGTTAATATTAACTATATTATTACTATATACTTAGTCTTAATATTACTCTATATATACTATTATATACTAAAACTTAAGCTATCTATATTTTAGCTAGTTATTTAAGAGAAACTATTCTAATAGAGTAATATTACTTATTTACTTTTTATTATAAAGAGCTATAGTTTAAAAATAAGTTTCTTCTAAGTTTAAGAAGAGGGTTATTTAGTATAGCTCCTTAGTTTCCTTATAATAAGTAGGTTTTTATAACTAAAGTTATAAAAAGACCTATATAATTATTTTATCTTTAATTACTTCTTTAATTTAAGTACCTCCTATAGGTATAACGCCTTATTAAATTAAGATCTAATCTATAAAATAAACTTTCTTTACTAAGGAGTTACTATATAAAGTATATTAAAAGTTATTATTCTTTATTTTAGTAATAGCGTTAATTTTTATTAGCTCCTTATTTCTTATATAGTTAATATTAACTATATAGCTATATATATACCTAATATTAATATAATTAATAGTAGTTATTAATACTTATTATCTAGCCTCCTCTTATTCTCTCTAAGCCTTATTTACTATAATTATAGCCTCTTAATAATAAATAGATAATTCTAAGCTAGTTACTTATTCTAAATAGTACTTATTATAGAATTACTTTACTACTACTTCTAGCTAGAAGTATACTTTATTTTAGAGAATATAGGCCTAAATAGTTACTAAGTTAGGTATTAAGTTCTTCTATTTTTTATTAATAATACTAAATAATATTATAATTAGTATAAGAACTAATATACTATCCCTTTAAGTAGTATACTACTTTAATATTTCTTAACTTATTTATAATATTATATTTAGCTATATAATATCTATTTATTCTATAAGAGTAGTAACCTCTAATCTTAAGTATATTTTATTATATTTAGTTTATAGTAATTAAACTTATAAATTAACTAACCTCTCTTTACTATTTATAACTCCTTTATACTATAGATACTTAATTTATATCTATAATATAACTATTCTATATTAATTTAAGTTACTAACTAATATTTATACTTAGTTTCTAAATACTAGCTATAAGTACCTTTATCTATTTCTTAATATTTTTACTATTAAGAGATATTTAGTATATCTACTCTTAAAAAGTAATAATTTTATCTAAGTTTACTATTTTTAAGTTACTATATTACTACTAAATATAGGTAATTTATATAAACTAATTAATAGGTTTAATAAGATTAATAATTAAGAGAGAAGTAGTTACTTTTATAGCTTTTTTTTTATTAATATATATATAAGAGGTCTTTTTAGTTACTTATTTAATAATTATATACTTAATACTTAGCTAAAACTTCTAGAATAGGTTTATAATATTATAAGAGAGAGCTTTTATAGTAGCTTTAATAGCTCCCTTTAGTAAGTACTTATAAATAAAATAAATAAGATCTTAGTTTTAATACTTTAGAAGTTCTTTTATAATAACTTTATAATATAAGCTTTTAATATAATTAAAGAAAGTTATAATACTAATAGTATCTATCTTAGAGAAAGGGGGCTTATTTTTAATTATTTAAAGCTCTTTATTAAAATCCTAATAGAAGTTTTTATTTATAATACTATATTAATTAATAAGAGTAGCTTTAGTAACTTCTTAATTATTAAAGTTTTTAACTAGTAATTTAATACCCTATTTTAAGTCCTTAAAACTATAAAAGTAGACCTTTATTAGTTTATCCTTATTAGTCTAATAAGCTTTATAAAACTAAAAGTTATAAATTTTAATAAAATCTATAATATTATTACTTATAAATATAGAAGTATTCTTATTTAAGAAGGGATTTATTATAATTAGTATAAGATATTAAAAGTATAACTTTATTAATTACTTAATAATTCCTATTAACTAGTCTATAAAAATAAGATAAGTATTATTAATAAGAGTTATAAACTATTACTAGACTTTATAAGTATTATTACTTAAAGTATAATAAGGATTAATACTAAAAACCTATTCTTTACTTCTATTAATTTTAATATAGAGGTAAATATTATTAATAATATAGTTAACTTTAATAAAGTTAATATTAGTAACTTAAGTTTATAAACTAGAGAAACTATTAAATAAGCTATTTTTAGAAATTAAAATTACTTTAGTTTAATCTTAGATATTTCTAAATACTTTAGTTTAGATATTAAATATATTAGTAGATTTATTTTTAGTAGTAAGGTTATAAAAAGTTAAGATATTTTAATATAATATTTCCTTAGTTATTTTAAATTATATTTTAATTNATAGTAATTATTAATAATTAAAATAATAAATATATAAGTTATTATTTTTAAGTAATTAAAAGTATTAATCTTTTTAATTTTAAATATTATTATTACTTTTTCTAAAAATATAATAAAAGAAAAGGAAATAAGAGAAAAGAGTATAATTAAGTAAGTAGGTATTATACCTCTACTCCTACTAATTCTAAGCCTAATTAATTATACTATTTTAAGTCTCTATAATTAATTTTATATTCCTTCTTTTAAATCTCTACTAATTAATTTATTAAGGGTTATATAGATTACTAATAGTTTTATAGTAGATTTATCTTATTCTTTTATAGTAAATTTATTAGTTCTTAAGAACTATTTTATTTAAATATTATAAAGTTTTATATTCTTATTAGTTTAGAAAACTTATTAAATAGATCTAATCTAATTTTAATAGTTTATAATATTAAAAAGTAATAAGAGTAAAAATAAATAAAAATTTAATACTTCTTATTATATAGATTATAATATTTTTAAAGTCTTTTTTAAAGTCTTTTTATATCTCTATATTCCTATTACTAAAGTTATACTTAGTTATTATACTTCTCTACTTATTATAAATTAGGTATATCANCTACTTATTATAAATTAGGTTTATAAATAACTACCTAACTCCTATTAATATATTATATTTTTTAGTATTATATAGCTAGTAATAATAGTTATAGTTATTATATATATTATATTAATCTATTTACTTAGTATAAGAGTAGGCTTTTCTCTAGTACCTCTTATAAGTATCTAAAAGAAGAAAGAATCTACCTCTAAGTACTATTAAAATNAGTTATAAACTTAGTAACTAAGAACTATATAATATAGTAGTATATATATACCTAAAGGTATATAGAACTATTATAATTATATAACTCTATAGTTTTAAAACTTATAATCTTAAAAGAAAAAAGAAAGGACTTTTTATTTACTTTATAGATCTAAAATAAAAAGAATAGAATTAAAAACTTAAAAATCTACTAAAAAAATAAATAAATTCTACTTCTAATCTATAAGGATTAATAATAATATCTAAGCTAACTTCTCGTCCCTTAAAGGGGGCTAGTAATCTGACCTCTAAACGCCGAAAACGCCGAAAAATCCAGTGGGCCCACTAAACCCTATTCTAATACTGTACTTACTGAAGAACGTTCCAACATCCCAACTTCCTAGCAGGAACACAGCATAGCCCCAAAAGATCTCGATTAGGCCAAGCTAGATGAGCGCAATCCAGGTGCTGTACGGTTGGAACCACCCATAGTATGGAAGGTCTTTGCGATTATAATTTTGTGCACTTAATGCCCTGTAAAAGAATAGATAGTTGACACAGCAGGCGATATATGTCACCAGTTGTCCACTGGTAGCCAGGTTAATGAACCTAGGACATTAGTGTATTTACTTAAATGGATGTTCCCGGAATTGAACCTACCAGTTTAGCACCGTTACCGTGCTAGAGCTGAGCTTTAGGTATGCCAGACATGAAAATCCGACCGAGACTGCGAAACAGTAGATGGGCACACCATTTTTCGTCGTCTTTATGAGGAACTTTGGCGCATGACCACCTTGAGCAAGTGCGTACAGGCTCCGTATAGCGGTGAACATGTAGCAGTCGCCAGCTGAGTAAATGCTTGTCAAGAGAAGTGCGTTAACAGCATGAGGCAGGGCATCGACGCCCATATTCCTCATAGCGATTACGTAGACCGATGATGCACTTGTGCCAGTCTCTCCGGAACCGAGGACCTTGACGAGGGTGGGGTCTCTGGCCGACAGCACAATACCGACGCAAATAGCACCGAGAATAAAGAATAAGACAAAGCGAACATACACGCTTCGAAATGCGGTTTTGAGTGATGTTCGTGGGCGTTGAACTTCACCTGCGCAGGTGGCTAGATACTATGGCCCAACCATGATGAAATTGGCTTGCCAAAGTGCGGCCAGGAACCCTTGAAACCGTCCCGAAGTTCCAGTGGAGAGATACTCCAGGAATGGCTCCTGATTGCTTCATGTCAGAGGTTGAACGTAGATCAAGAACAGGCTCACCGGACAGGCTTAGTCCAATTTCGGAACCCATAGGCATCCTTTTGTGGGTTTCCTCCACACATCGTCACGAATGTGAAGCAATACAGCAGTAAGATCAATATCAATTTCCCTCCAGACAGCCAAAACTCGGCCTCGCCGAAGTACTTGACGCCAAAGGCATTGGTAAGTCTAGACATGGGTCAGTTGGGCAGAGGGCTTTTCAAACTTTTGACGAACCCATAAGTAGCAATACAAATTGTGATGACGGCTGCTGAAGGAATATCGTCTCGCCAGAAGGTCAAAACAAGATCCACGGCAGTGATCTCAAATGCAGGCAGAAAGGCTTCGAAAACGAAGAAGTTCCAGCCGAGCATGAAGCCCCAGGCTTGGTCAACCCAAGCACCACCATGCTGAATGAATGCGGCGCTGACCGGCATAAAGATCGTCATCTCAGCGATGGCATTAGTGACAAAAGTCATCATGATTCCTTGGATGATGAAAGCAAGCAGAAGGCTTCCGGCTCCGCCATGAAGCAATCCAAAGCCAATGCTGATGAAGAGAGCAGTGCCGATGGACCCGCCGATGGCAAAGAACTGCACCTGGCGAGGACTAAGATGTCTCCTCAAGGCTTCGTTCTGAGAGCCGAAGTCACCATTGGCAATGTCCGTCTGTTGCTCGTCGACCTTTTCTGGGACCTTCGACATTGGATCAGACATTGCTAGGTGAGTCTCAGCCATTGCTGTAGCTGTGAAAAGGCGAAAGATTATGCCGAGGATGTGATGAATGAACGATCAGGTCAGTTTGAAGATTCTCTAGAAACATGGTCTGTGATAATGGCTATTTATCTATGAAGCTCTCGCATTCGCTTTACAATCATCCAAGTTGCTCAAGGGCAATGCGGCACTAACCCCAGCCATGTCCAAGCAGGTTTTCGAAAGAATTACCCCGGATTACCCCAGACAGTTCCTGGTCAATGTGGATATCAAAATTGGGATGATAGGTCCTGTACTATGCCCAATGATTCACTTCGGATTAGAAACCGATGTTAGTCTGTGATGATCTTGGTTACCAAACCTGGAGGGTTTGCCCTTTTCCTTAGTACCTATGCATCAATCTTTCACAATCTTCCATGCTTGACTTGATATTCTCCCAAGATGAAGTGCGGCTACGCTGTTATCATTGTGAAGTATTGTTCTGATCGAAAATCCCCCCATCTACCTAGGAACTCTGATGATCCCGCGCGCGTTATGGCCGTCGGACTAGAAGCGTCATCGCGCCTTGCAGGGGTTGATTGGGCGCTGGATCGTCGACACATCTTCAGCACACTACCCACAGAGATCACTAGCCTGCTGCTTATCTATGTGGAGTCCGTGTTGTTGGGGGATCGCGCAGCGGATGCCATCCTTCTTGCTTTGATACAGAATGCTGCCCAGCCATCCTCCGTATGTTCCGTCGGCTGGTGTCGGCTTCTCAATCCGAACCTGGTCCTTTCTCGCGGTTCTGTTTCCGATCCCTGCTAGCGCATGCTGGGGTTCGCTAGATAAGCAGAGGCTCTCATGGCAATTACCGCTTCTGGGCATCGAAATTGCAGAGCACCAACTGTGAAATGACGGCGGCACGAATGCCAAAACATGATAAGTCGCCGAAGCCCGAACAAGATACGGGATGTGTCACCTCGCCCTCTAAGGGGCTGTTCATGTTCTAGTATCAAACATGAGATCCACTGAAGCGCTGGTACTTTACGTAGAAATTACCAAATCGTGCAGCGAGGGCTGAGAGACATTACATCTGAAAACGCGGGGTAGATAGCCGCTAATCTGGACCTTCCCTGCCACATCAGATAACAAACATTTCCCCGCATTACGGAGGGCGGACCACTGAACTGTGCTGTGATGCTCACGATTCCCTCCCAGCGACGAGCATTCTGCTCTGTCTGTCGCAACCGGCATTGAGGTTTTGGGGCATCACGACTGTACTACTACCCACGCGTAACCATGGTAGAATCTTCTCAACCACGGCGTCGGAGAGGGAAAAGAACTTCAAATGCGTAAGACATTCACTCCCATCGCTGGCGCAAGAATAACACTAAAGGCCGTTCCAGATGCCTTCCATGCCGGCGAAGTAAGATAAAGTGCAACGGAGAGGACCCATGCGCAAGTTGTGAGAGACGATTGGTTAGGTGTCGCTTCAACGACAATGATCAAAAAGTTCTGGTATCAGAAACGTATGCAACGTGCTATCTCAGCCAAAACAGCATGTCCGTAATTAATGTCAAGATCAGATACCTTGAGGAGTTACGGAAGAGAGCAGAGAAGCGTCCTAAATCACCTCAAAATGGAGCATCAGAGCAGAACACGAACGCAGAGAGGCTACCTCTGCCCCTGGAGAGCGAATCAAATCATGATGCCAGGCGCCCATCGGTAATTGAAGTTCAAACCCTACCAACGCCAAACACATACGACATTGGTACACCTTCCAGAAGGCGGTCAGTCGTCAATGTGTCACCAATGTCAGTTGAACAAGCGGATGACCATGATTTCGGTTTTAATGTCACCATGGACGAAGGAATCACTGGGCCGGCCACCAATAACTCTATGTTAACTCTGGAAGGTTCACCAAATAGTACAGTGCTTGCTGCTAGGGATAATGTGGATCAATCAGCCTTCTTACCTGGACAAAAGCCTGAAGCTCCATTGAGCATCTGGCCCAGCGCGTTCAATATGGCTTCTCAAACTATCAAGAACACCAGAAATAATCGTCGCAAATGGAGTAAGTCGAAAGAAAAGGTCAACCCATAAATTTCATAACTAACAAATCGTGCCAGTCTGGCTTGCCCCGTGGTCAACTTGGTCGTTCACCCTGCGGCTGATGCTCATATTAGGAGAGAGTTTGAAGTCTTCCGCGCCTCCTCTTCCGAAGCAAATGCTCGAGGGTGATATTTACGATCTGCCTTCGAAATCTACATCAACTCAGTTTCCCGACACTAGGTATCTGCCTTCCTTAGATCATGCGCTTTACCTCTTTAATACAGTCAAATTCCATCTTGGACAGACGTATCGCTTTTTCGACGACGCCGAACTTGAGGCCCAGATACGCGAGTTCTATTCAGGACATGTTGCTCAAAGGGCCTCTGAATCCAGACTCTGGTTCACAAAGTTCTTATTAGTTCTAGCATTTGGGACTGCTTTCCATTCACGGCCAGGATCAGCCGAATCAAGAGATCCACCGGGCGGAAAGTTCTTTGTGCAGGCATTGTCTATCCTTCCAGACAATATGTCCCTCTGGAGAGACAGCCTGATGGCAACCGAGGTCTTGGCGATGATGGGGTTATATCTTTTTTCCATTGATGAGAGAGAGTCAGCGCATGTCTATGTGAGTATTGTCCGCCTGAAAAACACTACGAATACGTCAGTCTGACTTGTCAGCTCGGTCAAGCGATCCACATAGCAGAGATGGAGGGCCTGCATACCCAACTCCCGGAAGACGAGATAGGAGCTGAAACTGTCACATGGTGTCGTGACCTATGGTGGACACTCTACATCATGGACCGCCATTTCTCTGCCTCGGTTGGACTACCAATGTCAGTCCATGACAGCGAAATAACGACACCCATCAACCCACCCGACCACGGTTCTCACGCAGACAGCCTACGAAGTCTTCAAGTCAAACTCTCTCATTTAATGTCTATGATACTTAGAAGTAGGTCTTAGCGAACGGGGATTTCAAGAAATGCACTGACACCGATATCAGCCGTCTACAAACCAACGAAAACATCCCTGGCAACCTATGTCGAACAGACGAAGTCAACGTTGCACACTTTGGCCCAGTACGCGCAAGAGCTGGAAAACATCATGAGCATTAAATTTCAAACTTCGGTCGATACGGTTCCCAGAGGCATGCGTCACATCACCCTGTTGTACCATCAGTGCGTCATTGTTGCCACCAGACCCCTGCTCCTCTCTATTTTGAAGGAAAGGCTGGACATGGTCGATAAAGTCGCCGATGTAGACTGGGAGAGCATTCTGAACCATACAGCCGGTATCATATCTTCTGGGATCAAGTCAGCCTCCAAAACGCTACAGGTACTATCAAGCGAGTACAGCCTTCTCGGTAACTCACCAGAATAACACCAAGCGGCCAAGAGGACTAATATGTGTACAGAAGTATTCCTTCCTTATGATCTAGAGTTTACGTACGGCGCAGCACTTCATCTTGCCATGGCAGGCGCAATATTTCCGGACGTCTCTGAAGATCACACAAGCAATCAAGCAGCACATGAGATCCTATCCGACATGGTCACGAGAGGGAACCGAGTGGCAGGTGTGCGAAGGACTGAGCTGCTGCATGTGGAGCTACTGTTCAAAAAGCTTGAAGAGCAACTGAAAAGCCGCGGTCATTACAGTCTCAAGCTTCCGCGTGCCATGGATCTGGGCCCGAATCCCGAGGAAGACAGGCAAAACGCGTCAAACATGGAAGCAGACACGAACGCCGCGGCGATGATCACCGGAGCCGTGGACCTTTTTCCGCTCGTGCCACCTTCAGACTCAGGGAATGCTGATTTTCTCGATCTTCTCGACAGTGTTGGTATCTCTTCGGAAGAGTTCTTTTCCATCACACAGGGAATGGGAGACGTTGAGGATATCCCGGAAGGTGTTTTGAGGATGTATTGATGTCATAAAGTCATGATGCCTAGTTCCCTGAAGTAGCCCTTGTTGGACATGACGCCAGTGAAACGTCCCCCCAACAGGTGGTTCCGTTCCTCTGACCAAGCTTGAAGAACCGCTGCGCCCAGGGATAGGTATTCGGGACTTAGCCAATGATTTGGGGCCATTCATCCGTAATCTCGCTTGCATTTAGTGCATCGCGGAACAAAGCCCCCCCCAGGCTTTGACAAGAAGCACAGACGAGTGCTACACGAGACGTGCATTAGCGCCCCAACTCTGCCCCGGATCGGCCCCACTGGCTTACACGCTGAAGCTTGAGCGAGGATTCAATCTGCTAGACGAATCCTGCATCAGAAGATCCAAGCATTTCCCCTGAACCCGAAGTTTCCATACGATCCTCTCTGACTTACCTATATGCATAGTTCGTATGGAAGCCAAGCATGGATATTGGCCAAGTTTCAGCCCACCACGTGGAGATATCTCCACGATGTACCCGACTGTCCACTGAGCTACACGAAACCTGCATACGAGCTTCTGATCGTGTTGTATATAAAGCTTCACGAGAAGCGTTGAATGTAGTGGTACCAAATCCGAATTTGCAATTTCACTATAAGCCTTTTCTCCCTCTTTCATCAGACGCCATTCAACAAACTCATGGCTGTCACACAGCGAAACGGCGGCTCCTCCGCTCCTGCTATCAATACAACGACGAAAGAAAAGCAGCAGCCAATTGTTTCTACCACCACTTATCGCGATGGCTCATCTGACGAGTTCGATTTCGGTGGTTCGTTTGGGACTTTGGCGCTTATGATCGGCTTTCCGCTGTTGATGTGGTACATGTGGATCGGCGCCACGTACTACGATGGCCAGATTCCTCTCCCAGAAGACAACCAGTCCTGGTCCGATTTTATTCATCACCTAGTCCACCTTGTTTATGAAGGAGCTTATCCAACCACAACGGCCTGGATAGCTTACTGGGTCTTCTTCATTGGCGAGGCTCTGATGTACTGCTACATGCCTGGCGTGCTCAGTTACGGCAGGCCGCTGCGCCATGAGGGAGGCAAAAGACTTCCATATTACTGCTCTGCTTACACCAGCTTCTACGCAACCATCTGCATTGCCGCCACATTGCATATCACCAAGCTGTTCCCTCTATACACGATCATTGATGACTTCGGCTCTATTATGACCGTTGCCATCTTGTCCGGCTTCATCAACAGCTTCGTCGTTTATGTCCAGGCCATCATCCGTGGAAGGACTCACAGATTGACGGGCTACCCGATTTACGATTTCTTCATGGGAGCTGAGCTGAACCCGCGCATAGGCATCCTAGACTTCAAGATGTTTTACGAAGTCCGAATTCCGTGGTTCATTCTGTTTCTCACCACCAGCTCAGTTGCAGCCCGACAGTATGAGACCTATGGTTATGTCTCGAAGGAAGTCGTTTTCCTCACTGCTGCCCACTATCTTTATGCCAATGCTTGTGCTAAGGCGGAGCAGATGATTATCTGCAGTTGGTAAGTGGCCGAACCTGTTCTTTTTAATATGGGGTTTTCAGTCCAGCTAACGTTTAATGCAGGGATATGTACTTCGAGAAACTGGGTTTCCTTCTAACTTTCTGGAACATGGCCGGCGTTCCTTTCTCGTATTGCCACTGCGCCATCTACCTGGCCAACCATGATCCTTCTGAATACAACTGGAACCCCTACGCCCTGGCAGCTCTCAGCATCGCCTACCTCTTCTTTTATTGGATGTGGGATAGTGCGAATGGCCAGAAGAATGCCTTCCGCCATACAGAAAGAGGCCAGCTTGTGAAGCGAAAAACCTTCCCTCAAGTTCCATGGCAAGCTATCGAGAACCCTAAAGTCATCGAGACTGACGTGGGCGACCGTATTATGGTAGATGGCTGGTTCGCTATCATCAGGAAGCCTAATTACGTACCTGACATGTTTTTCTCTTTTTCGTGGGGACTTATCACTGGGTTCAAGTATGTACACCCCTAGTCTCGTTTGATATGGTATCGCGTTACTGATCATATCATCAGGAGTTTCTTTCCCTGGTTTTACTTCGTATTTTTCATGATTATGATCATCCATCGCACCAAGCGCGATGTTGAAAGATGTCGCAGGAAGTATGGAGAGGCGTGGAAGCGTTATGAGGAGCAGGTCCCATACCTGTTCATCCCCGTAAGTGACAAGAGCAAATCTAGTGCGTTGCCGATCATGACTGACGAAAACCACAGTACGTCATTTGAGAAGGTCACAGAGCTGTCGTCTTAGTCTAGAAAGTTACGGGTTCAGGCCATCACGGGGACTGGGGGCTAGGCCCCTCAGGCTGTGAGCATCTGAGGTTGTGAGAAGGTGTGTGCCACGCCGATTCGACAGGGCTCGGGAGCTAGAGCGAATTATACTCGAATAGGGCCAAATGTGTCTAAATTTTCCGTTCAATGGGCCCTTTATCCGTAGTGACAGAAAGTCAGTTTGCACTTTTATACGGCTGGAAAGCAAATGATTTTGTGTCCGCTTATCTGAAGAGGTCACTACACCTGGTTCGACGTAGCCATGACTCTACGTGAAAAGTGCGCGAGGACTATCAAAACATTCATCCCAATGCTTTCCAGCGGATGCGTAAAACTTCTCCAGTACCTCTTTTGCTGCAACTGGGAGATAGATTCCCAGTTGTCGGCTGTCCTCTCCTAGACGATCGAGAATGAAACTTCGCATCCAAGGACTCCCGCCTTTCGCCTCAAATCCAGCCACAATCATGGGCCATGTCGTGCATATCTTGAGTGCTCGAGAGGTAGTGGTTTCGTCGAGAAGAGCGAATAATCTGTCGCGATGGGTTTTCTTGAGAGATATCCACTCTTTTGATGAAGGTATTGCACCGGCACTCTGCAAGGATGAGATTCCGAAGAGCAATGCGGCCGACTGATAGATCTGACCCATGAGCAGAAAGCCCTCAACCGACGACTCCATCCCATTGGACCACGTCTCTGGAGAGAAGTCCAGAATGCTATCCAATGCGTCTTCTGCTTCATTTTGTATCGGACCGACAGAGCTTCCCGTGTTCTCGAGCGTGGCCAAGAAACGGAGACGATTGATGTGGACAATGTGAATGAGCAAATCGATTGGGCATGGTAATTGCGGATAGTAGCCGATCGAGAAAACATCTCTTATCACGTCTCGTATTCGGTAATTATCCAGTGGAGATACTTGGTCGTCAGCTGGGCTCGTAGTGTTGGCAAGATTTTCAATACTATCCGCGAGTGAGTTAGTGAGTGGCCAAATATGGGCTCTTGAAATACACGACATTTTGCAGAACAGAACCAGAGTCTTCAGATGCGGCGACTTGAGGCAGAACTCTTCCCATCCGCCACGCAAAGCCACCAATGCTGCAAAGCCTCTTAGATGAACACGCCAATTAGGTGCTGTGGCGCCACCCATCAGCTGAAAGGAGAATGTTAGTTTGAAGCTCTTCAAAGTTTTTCCGATAGTGGGGGTTTAAATACATCGCCAAAGATAAACGTGACAACGCCAGCCAGAGTGGCGTCGGATAACCGGGTAGTCTCATTCGCTATCTCCTTGTTCAAGGCTTGAATGGCCGTATGTCGGTGGTGGTAGGCTCTGGCTCTCACTTCAGCCGCATAAGGATCATTTCTGGTCGGGGATAATTGTGACATGCGGTGCTCGATGGCCATCGCGACCAGCCCATGGCGCCGATAAGGCTTCATGGCGTGTATGTGAGATGCGGGCACAACCCAGGGGCTCTTGGTCAGCTGATTGTCATAGAAGTACGGATAGACATGATTGTTCCCTGCCAAGAGTAAGCTTACATCCTCGACTCTTTTCAGGCCCAGATACGATCGCGCAGCGCCTATAAACATCCAGTAACACATTGTGGAACTTACAGTAAAGTGAAGCCTCTGCAATATCACACGTCTCTGTCCGAAGCTCCTGTCCAGGAAAGATATGAATGAGCTGTTCCTCGGCCGATCTGCTTTGCGCTGTATCCTTCCTTTCGCTGGGCTTCTTGGTATTCTTCAGCGCGCTGGACTTATTGGCTGCTGGCTTCCTGCCTCTCCAAGTCCGCGTCGTGATCTGATTGGGGGCGACCCAAGTCAGAGGCTTCACGTTCTCGTACCCAGGACACACAATGCCGCTAAGCTTACACTTGGAGCATACGGGACGGGCCGAGTCGCATACTACCCCTCGGCGCTGACATTCCCAGCAAGCCCGTTTCGCCATGTTGCTATCACGGCTCTCGGCGCGCTCGGCGATGGGTGCCACCGTAGCGAGGACAAGATGACGAAGAGGAAGCTTGTACGCTTTGGGCTATTGGATGTAGTGAGATAAAAGACGGAGATTTGATAACGAATCCGTTCCAGCGAAACTGCCCTCTGGAAGGCGGGATGGTGGGTCGTATTATCAGATCTCTCTTGCGTGGTTGTGCAGATTTGGTGTGAGACATCGGGTGGCGAAGTGCAGCTCTTGGCCACTTTGTTCGCCTAATGAGAGCAAGCTAGTCACAGGCCTGGTATGCATGCTTTCGCAATCCCATTCAACCAACATGGAATAATGCTTCGAGATGGGGCATCACTCATTGGTGCGCAGCAGGAAGGCGAGGACATCAAATCCTTTCGATTCCTTTGGTGGCATTCCAAACGGATGATTCCAGTCTGCTGTGTCGGTCTGGACATTGGACTTTGCTTTTTCCAAACCCCGTCCCCACAACGAATTGTAGCATCGATCGTGGAACAGTACGACACCAAAAGGACTCTGCAGCTTCGATGGACTTGGCAGAAACCTTATCCACTATTTGATTCGACGGTACTTATTGGAGGCGTGCCGAATATCCTGTCTCTTGGCCAAGTGTGAAGCCCAATCAACAGAGCCACCAACGATAGTGATTGGATCCACTGGCTAGATTTTCGAGAACCCGATCAATAATCCGTTAAACATCCGGTGAGATGGGTTTGTGAGAACGATGACGATTGACAGAGCATTCTCGAAGGGAACAAAAAGGTGCATAGTACGTTACTGCAGACTTGTTTCCATTTCTGGGTTTAGATGGTACAGTCCTCCCCTAAAAGACTCCCTTTGGCTTCGCAGCTCCCTTGGCAATCCCAACCTCTTCATTCGCTACCCGTTGGAGCGCCGTGTAATCAGTCACGGCAGTGACCATATCATAGCCCTGGCTTGCGAAGTGTTTTGCTTGTGCTCCATCCTTGCAGTAGATACCGCACTTCTTGCCGGCGTTATGCGCCGCCGTCAGGATCCGATCTAACGCGTCCTCCACCTCTGGTGGCATGACCCCGTCCTGAACTGGGTGGCCGATATTGTTTCCTTCAGATAAAGAAGTCAGAACTTGCAGAACATCAACTTTGGGGAGCGATACCTAAATCAAAGGGCCCGATGAACAACGCATCAATTCCATCGACACCCGCAATGCCCTCAACATTGTCGTATGCTTCCCGAGTTTCGATCTGGATTATTGTCAAGAGGGCATCGTTAGCTTGATGAAGGTATTCGGTTAGTGTAGGGTTTGGGTTGAATCTCTCCAGGGCAATGAGAGATCCAAATCCCCTTATTCCTTGAGGCGGAAACTTGGCCTCGCGGACAAGTTGCTTTGCTTCCTCGACGGTTCGTATCAGTGGCACCAGGATCTACAAGAGAATTAGCAACGAGCATCAGACTATTCATCATATCCACATCAGCTTACAGCGTGCGCACCGCTGTCTAGTGCTCCTTTTGAGGATTCAGCATGGCAACTTCAAATGGCAAATAGGTTGCCGGGTGCCTCACGCTTGACCATCCATCCTTGCAAGTCCGCCAACCTCACAACTGGAGAAACTCCCAGAGCGGCAATGGCGGGAACTGCGTCATGCATAGCGCCATCTATCATATCATCAGCATCGTAGCAATTGATTGGCTCACATCACGTTTCTGACCATCGATGTTTCCATGCTCACAATCGACGAGCACCCAATCAACGCCTGTTCTTGCTAGCATTCTTGAGATATTTGCTCCTGGCAACATTTGCCAGCCACCAAATGATGACTGGCCTTTGTCGAAGCACATCCTCAGTCGATTGGATGACTGCATGATGATGATGTGTTGAGCAGGCAACTAAGCAGAATAACAACACGTGCCGTATAAGTAATAAAACAATTCCCCAGAGTCAACACAATGATTTCAGCAACATTTGAGAATATGTACATAACATGTAAAGTAAGTCATTTCATCTCTTAAATGTGAGAACATATGTGATGAAAATATAATGTTGGCACTTCTAGAGACTAGTCCTGGCTCCCACTCACAAGGCGGGATGACTTGACCGGCTTCGGCAAGACTTCCGAAATGTGTTCATGAACTCCCGCGCTGGATCCGAGCGACAAACTAGCTCTAAGGTTCATCGTCATTCCCTCGAATTACTGTAGGATAATTCCACAAGTTCCAAGATACGGAGACATCCTTCGAATCAGTTCATGCGCCTGATCCCAAGTTGAGAACGACTGAGTACTCCGCGCACTCGGTTGCACCCACTAGATAGCAAGTGGACAGACACCTGTCCCTCCGCGTGACAGATACCCCTCCGGCTCAGGCGGCTAGGTTCATCCGTAGTGCCTCCGACCAGGGGCTATCTCATCGGCATGTCTATTGATTCGCGGGACAGGGGTCGGCTTCAATTCTGAACCATTCTTCCGCCTTCGTGATGTGTCGGTCACTCGCCGGTTGGCTGCGCGGTTACAGTAAGAGGAAGTTGTACATTCTTTGACGGTGATCGGGTGCAATGTGATCGCCAGAACTGATACCTTTGAATGCGCGTCTCGGGGGTGCAGGTGTCACATCAATTTTGGGATCCGATTAAACTGCGACTGATGGATTGTGGCAACGTTTTCGACTTGACTGGTGTACTCTTCTCTCCAAATGAGATCCGAGCTTGGCGATGTTATCGGTCGTATGAGAATGTCGGTGCACGGAGCTTGAATTATATAACTAACAGTATCGTGTCTTTCATGTCCGCTCGGTAGCATCAATCACGCAACTCAGATTCTGGCACTACATCTACCCAAGCTGTCGGCGGCGCCTCCCAACTATCAACTTCAGGATAACCAGCAATCTAGTTGCAATGCCATCTGCACTATCATCAATCGAGACGACCTCGGCCATCACGAGTTTCGCATCAATCCCTGCTAAGTCCCCGGACGCACCAAAGGTCGTCGCCCCTTCAACCAAGAGAATCACTCGTCCTAAGGAACCAATTCCCCAAATCCTCATCGACGAAGCCAAGGCAACCAAGTATGAGCCATTCGATCCCAAAAAGCACCTTAACTACCAGCCGCCGTCAAAGATCTACTCAATGAAGGAGATCGGCCTCGATGGCCACGGAATCGCACCCACGGCCGTCTGTGAACCGTTCCCCTTATTCACCGAAGGGGCTATCAAGCAAATGAGAGCCGAGGCTTTCAGTGATAAATGTCTCAAGGACTGTCGATACCAGTCTTCCTTCATCAAGAACATGATTCGCGGGATGGGCCATGAGTAAGTCGAGCCGAGGTACCCAGGTGTTGCGATATATGCTAAGAAGGCGGCAGCCGAGCCCCGTTCATCTACGACGCCTGGAAATCCCCGGAGGTCCTCGCCAAAATCTCTGAAATTGCGGGCGTCGAGCTTATCCCCGCTGTTGACGTTGATATCGGCAACGTCAATGTTTCCATCAATGACGAGAACGAGAACAGCGTCCAGAACTGGAGGTCATCTGACGACGATACGCTCTCTGCCGTTGCGTGGCATTATGATAGCTATCCCTTCGTCGTCGTGACCATGCTTTCCGACTGCTCTGACATGGTGGGCGGCGAAACCGCTCTCAGGCTTCAGGATGGAACGATCAAGAAGGTCCGCGGACCGGCCATGGTATGGCTGACCTTCGAAATTTCGACTTGAACGTGTTTCTGACGTTTTCATAGGGAACTGCGGTCGTCATGCAAGGGCGCTACATTGAGCACCAGGCGCTGAAGGCCTTTGGGGGTCGCGAGCGCATATCCATGGTTACCTCTTTCCGCGCGAAGTCTCCTTTCATTAAGGACGAGACCACACTAGCCGGCGTACGCACTACCAGTGTTCTGTCGGACCTGTACACTCAGTTCACTGACTATCGGCTGGAGATTTTGGAGGAACGAATTCGGGCTAAGAGGAAGGAAGAGCGTGGGCGGGAGGTCGCTCGCCGCCCTTTTAACATTACGGAAATGAGGTCTTTCCTGGAAGATCAGATCAAGCTTCTGCAGGGTACCCTTGACGAGGTATATGCGCTCGATGATTGAATCATTGGAGATGTTGGTGATCAGAGCTAGCATAAAGGTGATGGGCTAGGAGCAAGATATGTGTGTCCAGCTGGAGTAACACTTAGCTTCTAAATTGTACTGTGTGGAGTTCTCCTTCAATTTAGCGGTAGCAATAGACGTCATAACCACATTGGTGTCTCGAAAGAGATTGCAAAACCATGACTATGAGAAGGCTTGACTTAAACGTCATCTATCAGATGTTGCAACTAGATACGCTTTTCTGGTAGACTTGACAGAAGTAATGGTCCTCTCTACTACGACCAAGTTCCGTTCGCAGGTCCAAAATATCCTACATCAGGCATTTGTAACCAGGGTAGTCCCTGCCCATCAGCGGTGTTCTGCATTCAAGTCAGCTGCTATTCTTGGTGAAAGGAGGTGTTTGGTTACGGACCTGCCAGACAGTGTTTCCCCACCAATCTGGGAAACTGACATTTGGACCTGGAAATAACTGGATTAGCAATTTTCCGGAAAATACTTGACAACCAGCAACAAGCTTACCGTAGGTGACAGCAAAGAAGATCACAATTCCGCTGATCGCCAGACCAGTGTCCAAGGCGGCAGCAAGAACGTAGTTGTACTTTGTCCACCAAGCGTAGAACTTGCGATAAATGATCTTGTTGAAGACCAAGTTGACGATGTACCACGAGGAGTAGTTGATACCTGTGGCAGGGGGCACGTTGTACGTTCCAACGAAGATCAGAGGCCAGTTGATCTTGCGAATGAAATCGGACTTTGTCCTCTTCCAGATGAAGTAGGTGATGGGTGGGAGGATAAGTCCGATCCAGAAGAAGTGCAGAAGGCCGGAGTAGATGGCTCCCACGGAGTAAAGACGAGCGGGCCCAACGAGACCCCAAATGACTGAAGACGAGAAGACGGTGCGACCATTGGGGCAAGAAAAGCCGTTGGGCTGATCCTCTTCGCAAATACCATCAACGTTACCCAACATCCACAAGGTGACTCCAGTCTGAGTCAGGGCGCCAAGGATTGTGGCGAGACCTTGGGCGAAGAAAAGGGTTCTAGGGGGAATCTTGAGATAGTGTCCAAGCTTCATGTCTTGGGCGAAGTACAGTCCCTGGCCAACAACATCGGTGCTAAGGATCTTGAAGAGAATGTTCGCAATCGGCTTGCCCTGGAACATGTAGCCTCCGATGAATTCGGACAAGACATTCAATTGATTCGCGTCGACGTTTGTAACGCCCTGGATCATACCGCTGAAGGGTTTAGCTCGTATCACGGACGATTTGACTGAGGGTATTAAACTCACCAAGGGATCATGTAGACAGCTGGGATCACAAAGCCGAGGATGATACCCCACCAAGGCAGACCAGTGTCGAAGCCAACAGCAGTTCCGATGCTCATGCCAAAGACCACAAGCAGAATGACAGCCCACCACCACCACTTGACGGTCTTGTATGACTGCATGAGACGTGCGTGGATGTCGAGCTTCAGAGTGCCCTTCATAGCCCGCGTAATCTCATCCCAGTGGAAGAAGTAAACATGAGACAAGACACTGTTATCTATTAGCAAAAGACCTGCTACGCACAACTGCTTCAACGTACCTAGTGATTGAGGCAAAAGACAGACCGTAAACGAAGGCGAAGGTTGCAGGCAGATAGGGTGGCGAATAACTGGAGTACTTCTGCTGGTCAAACTCATTATTGGTCAGAACCTCCGTCACGTTGTACAGCTGGCCGAACCGGTCATACACATCCGCCGTGCAGAAGGGCATGTACGAAGTGAACCAGGTGTTCGTGTAGTAGATCGCCGGAGTGACGACCCAGAAGAATATCGCAAACCCGAAGAAAACATTCAGAGCCGCCCAGTGAGGACTCAGCAGCGGGTTGGTGTTGTACGCGACCATTGACCAGTCGAAGGTCAGAGGGAACAGGCCCATGCCAGTGACCATACCAAAGACCTGGTTGACTGCCAAGTTGTTCGGTGCGATCCAGCAGATCCATGTGAAATAGCTGAGACCGGTGAAGATCAGGCCTGGAAACCAGTACCACACGAAAGCGCACCCGCCGACGATCATAAAGAATTTGACACGGGTGATTTTCCAGCCATCGGCAGCTGCGTTGGCTCTCGAGTGCAGCGAACTGAGAAGAGCAACGTTGCTGAGAACGCCGGGCCAGATCATACTAGCGGGCTTGACGAGCCAGGGAATGGCAAGGCCGGCGACGGCGTATCCACTCAATTGGCAGCACAACACCACCAAGACGGAGAATCCGGCGGGGATCTTGAAGCCATAGAGTCTGGCTGCTTGGATCAGGTTCGTCGCGTCTGCCGAACCGAAGCCGAATGAAACATTCGACATGATAGTGACGAGGGCATGCTCCTTGATGTTGAAGTGGCGATCGGGGTTGAATCGGTTGATGGGTAGGATCTTGGCTAGCGCAACGCCAATGGGGAAGGCCAACAGCTCTGCGACGAGGGAAACAATGTGGACACCCGGGTATCGGAGCGAGAAGAACTGGTTGACACCGGCGCCGAGAAAGACGAAGACCTATTTCAATCAGCGCGGGTGTTTTATCAATTCATTGCCAGAGACAGCGTACAATACCGAGAAACCAGGCGCGAAAGGTGTTGACGGGGATGGCGGTATCATCCGTCTCCGGCACCACCGCTCGAACTTGGGGAAATGGCGAAGTATCGTCGTCATAGTTTCCTTCGTCTACTTTCTCGAGAACATGTTCCATGTCAACCTCCAACTCCGCAAGGTGTCCGTTCTCGAGCTCGACATCGTGGCCGTGTACATTGTGCGCCGTCTTCAGCCCAAGTTTGTCGAATGCGCCGGACTTCTCAGGGTCCTCGTACGTGGGAGGCGTATGGCTGATGTCGGCCGCCATTGTGAAAGCGTCTGCAGAGCCTCTGAGCAGAATGCGACGAGCAGTGTGATCGGGGAATTAGAAGACAGCAGCCAAGAAAAGCCAAGCGAGTAGCGCCCGGCGCGGCATCGTTGGCATTAATGAAGGATCACACTCTCCGGGACCGCTTCCCATCGGACGCGTACTGCGCGGATATGGAATTCGCTAGACCCTTGCATAAGTTCCATCTTATCTTTCCTATCAACTACCCCGAGCCTGGAGACAGCCGATGGGTGGCGTTCTTGAAGGGCCGCGATGCGTTTGTTTCCCAATTTCCCCAGCGATAGAGAGGGATAACCGGCAAACCGGCGTGGTCCTGGCTAGGTTGACCCTCCATTCTCTGCTGTCATTCAGGTCATTCACAGGCATTGGCCAATTGAATTTCTTGGCTTTATCTGCCGTTGCGGGGATCCTCGCACTCGATAAGGAAGGCGACTGGGATCGTTTGTCTAGCGCGCCGGCCCGGCATGGCGAGAGCGTCGGAAGCTTGCGATAAATCAGCCACTTTCCGGGATGGAATTGGTTTCTGCGCGGCAGAGTCTGGCGCGAGGGCTTCACCATTCATGGTGTCATTCTCGCAACGACGCGGCTTTGATCCATACAGGCTTATATTGAAGCATTTCTGCGCAGATCTTTTCATACAAATTGGAGAAGCCGAATGAGATGAATATGGGCTCATTCGCAACGAGACGGCGTATGCCTTCGGCAAACAGGCATACTCTAATGATGAGCCACACCCCGATAACAAAAGTGCCATAGAGGTTAATCTGACGTCAAAATCCTTCCAGCATAGGTTCTTTTGTAAAGAAGCTAATGGCTGTGCCGGTAAGCAGCACTAGAAGGGCTGTCATTGGCGGCCGCGGATTCAGATGACGAGAGTGAGGGTCCGATTGGAAGTCGTGTTCGTGCGCCTTGGAACAACCTGAGTTGACCGGGGCTTCATGAATGGACCCGTCTGAGTTCAGTAATCTGCATCGCCCGTGTGTCCGACCGAAGTCCATTTCGCGCGCATAGATATATTTTTTGTTCTATGACGCCCCATTATTGTCGACTATGTCTTAAATTCAAGACATCGGAAAGCGAAGAGACCGAGGCAAAGGTGTAGGATTGCTCAACATTGGTAGTGGAGCAGTTGGTGATGGACATCAATATCCATTTCCGGATTTTGGCAGCCTTTTTGTGCGTCCTGCGCGCGTTTCTTTTCCCGTTCAAATCAAGCTACCATGCGCTTAGAACAACAATGAAGCTGCCGGGACGAAGTTGGTAGCGATTAATAAGTGTCAGAAACCACGCAAATCAGCATGTTGTGAAGAGGCAATTAAGCGCAGCGGGATAGTTGAGCGGAGAGGGGTACGTCCAATGTCCTGAAGAAATTAAGAATATGTCAGCATCAGTATGGTACCATAACTATAGACGTTGGGGAATGAAGGTAATAATAACTCTCCATGGACGATCGGGGGCTAATTGCGAAGATATCATCCATCATGTTGGTGTAAGGACTGCAAAGCCGTCTCTAATTCATTCTGAAGGTAGTAAAGAAGGGGACTTGGTTGTTAAAGGGGGCTGCGTAGGGTATTCGGAGTTGCACAGCTAGTTATTACTGACTCAGCCAAGGTACAGGATGAAAACCTAATGCTAGGGGGTAGCTTGACTGAAGGCAACGTTAATTGCGAGTCACGGTTTTCTTCTTGAGAAAGCCTGTTGCGAACGAGATATGCGAAGCACTCGCTCAGCATTCAGCCGTTTAGATAATGATCAGAATATCAATCTACAGTCTGCTTCGAACTTTTACTGAGCATGGCATTGCCCTGGATACGTTGCAGCAGATATCGATCCCATCTCAGATCAGAGTCCGGACACGCGGCATCAGGCGTTGAAGCACGTACCAACGCATATTCAAGTCATGGTCTTAACACGAAGCATTCTATAAGCACGGTCCCAAACCCTAGGGTTCGGATGACCACGATGCCTGATGCGATCGTCTCGGGAGCCTGAAATAAATGCAAATCATATGATCCGAAGTTGTAGATCCTAGGGGGAGATCCCAGTTGGACTTTGGACGTGTCTTTGGACAAAAGCCTCCACACATAGGCGTGCGTCTGACACGAGGGGCTTCCCTGTATCGGCGGAAAAATCCACTTCAGGAAGACAACGCAAGCCTTCTGGCCAACCACGCAACCCCCTTTCAGGCTCTTGTTTGGTTGCCGCCCGGTCCGATATGAGCTTTGAACTTCCTGCTGTGTGATAAAGCCTGTGAGAAGTAGACAGTAGACATTTCAAACTTCTCTGTCGATGCAGTTTTCCATGTATGGGGCACCAAAAGCTCGAGTATCGAACAGCACTCAGAAAAGCTACCTAACGACTCCTCAACACACCACCATGAGAGGTCGACGTGCCACAGTTCTCACACAACATACTGCAGCATGGTGCAAGTCACTAGCGTGTAGAAGAAGGTCTCGGGTCAATTGCTGCTACTGAAACGTAAAGCCGTTGAATGCTCTTGACGATGAAAAGTGCCCGCACTATAATTAGGTTTGCCTGTCTTCCCTGCGGAAATCTGGAAGCACCGGAGAATGCACAAACATGGAGTCTTTATTTTTCCAACTTTACGATCGACGCCTCCGGCTTGTAACACCCAGACCACGATGGCCCCGGCGAGAAGCCTAAACCGTATTGATAGCTTTCGCTCAGTCCAGATGAAGAATGACGTCTTCTGCACAGCCCAATACGCCGGACATTGTCTCGGAAACTTTACGGTCAGTCCTCATTTCGGTTCGGCCGGATCTCCGCATACGCTTCATTAAGCCTTTCCCTTGGTAAAGGTGACTATAAAGCTTGAGATGGTAACCAAGCCCTCACAGCCAGCATGTTCTACTTGGTATCACGAATATTCTCAATTTCGTTACCAATCACAACAACAGTCAAAATGAGGTTCTCCATTCTAACCGCCTTGACTCTGGTCTTCGCGACCGCAAGTGCGCAGGACCCTCAACTTCACAAGGGCGTTGGAGGTAAGCGCAGCTCCCAAGCAACTTGAAAATTTGTCCCGCTAATATTTTGTTTTTTTCGGCCGAGTGCGTCAAGAATCGCGATTGCTGCCCTTGTGATACGGGATCTGGAGCCTCCATTTACTGCCAACGTGAGAGAAGACTGTTGCAATAAATTCATAGAGTGGGAACTAACTTAAATAACCAGCGGATGCGACCTCTTCAACTAAGTACCGCTGCAGACACTTTGGCAACCCATGGACCTGGTGTCAAAACAACCGTGGACAGTGCGGAGATTGGGATCACTTGTCCTAGATTTCTCAGGACTGAGAACCATTAACTGGCATCATGGGTGGATAACTGTGTCGACGACGACCGTGCTTTACAACATGTACGAATAGTCAGGTTTGCGTAGCAATCAGGAATGGTATCAGTCATTGCACAGCAGGCAACATGTGCGGTGTACGGCAATAAGTCGTCCAGGGCCTCGAGACATCTTGCCCCTGATGACTTTGCAATCAGGCCTAGACAAGGCTGCACGCCCACACACCTTCGCGACGGCGTTTACGTCGTACTACAGCTACTTGGATCGGCTTCAATTTCTCGCGTGAGGAAGGGAGAAGTTCACAGTTGCGATTCTTCAGAGATCACCAGTTGCCACTTCAGATGACTACATTTGAAGATCTATGTTGGGAATGTCTTCAATCACAGCTCTATGATGGGCTCGCAGATCATCCGTTTGGCTTGGTATTAGACACAACAATCAGAGCTGGGCTATGGATGGGTAAATACAGAAAACGTAGTGCTCGTGGATCAGCTACGAGCTGACACTAGAACATCTCTATTCCCGTGGGCTGTTTGAAGTTCGTGAGACGTAGACTGTCTAATGTCCGCGGTTGAACATCGCCAGAGAGTTGTCACAAGTTAGGTATAACTTGATCTCATAATGATATAATATGAATGTTTTATTTTCTGGGTATCGAGACGAGACTCGTGGGAATGTACGGGTGCCGTCATGCAAGTGAAGATATACAATGAAATTCCTGCTGAAGCCTAGTTTCAAATTACTTGGGCCGAAGGTTCCAACTTCAGGCCAGCGCCTGGGCGCTAAGCGGAAGGAAGTGAACCTTGAGAGGGGTTCTACCATGTGCGTTAGTATGACAGCATCATTATGCTAAGAGCTAAGGGCCAACTCTCACCTGTCCTTAGTGTGGATATCTAGAACGGGCAGACCCAGAGGTTGGCCTTCATGTACAAAGGATCGTCGCAAGAGAGGTGGCCGTTCTTGAGTTGAGTGCCGGCACGCTCAGATGTGCGAGCGGTGGTTGTGTACTTGCCGCAAGCCATGGGCGTGTCGCCGCCAAACGTGCACATGCCAACTCTGTAGTTGTACTTGGCACCTCCGGCGATACCCAGCTCGGTGGAGCGGCCGTTCTTGGGGTCCAGAGCCCAGGCAATGTCACCCGTTGTCAAGGGCGCAGAGTTGCCACAGCAGTAGGAGGTGAAGTCAGCAGAGGCGACAGAAACGAGAGCGGCAGCGGCGAGGGTAGAGAAACGCATTTTGATTGGTGGTGGGAGGTTAATTCGGGGAAACGATTGAATCTGGTAGTGAGTGAATGTCGCTGAAGCCGATGGGATGCACCCTTAAACACATCGAATAAGTTCAGGGCTTTATAGCTTCTTGAGTTGAGGCTCAGCTCGGCCTCTTTTCCGAGTCATTCATGTCTATTTGAGTTCCGCGCATAGCTATTTGGAGTTATCATGAATGGAATAGTTAATTTGTCGGGAGCCAGTTGAGAGAGACTGGACTACTAGCTCTGCTCTGTTTCATCTAGAACATTGGGATGAGACGAACTAGCGAGATAGAGTTCGGATTCTAAGCCAGCGTTCTGGCAATGTTCGCCTCGCCGACCCATCTTTTGCCGGGTAGGGCGAGATGAGACGAGAGGGAACCGTGCTGGCGGATTGCTGATCAAAGGCAAATAGATTAACACAATGGACTTTCCGTTGACCGAAGTGTCCGGTCCAGTGGCACAGTGGGGCCACCGCGAGCCTTGGGGGCTGAGTGTCGTCTCATGTCGAGTCAGGGCCGGTGGTCTGTGATTGTGGCTGTTATCTCCAAAGCGGCAGCTCTACATTTTTAGTGAACAATTCTTCCTCAGTTGTGCCTGAACTGATATCAGTTCAATATTGGTAGAATCACAGGCAATGCGTTGGAAAAGTCGGGGTTCCCCACGGGGGCTCCCTAACCAGGACATCGGAAACCCACTCAAGTCCCCATGCTTTGCCGCACTTCACGTTGAGCAAGTGGAACTTGAGGAAAAGACCGGCTTTGCAATGTGCCCTTGTATTGATTCTTTGGTATTCACGGCGCCACTCCATCTTCAAATGACTGGCTGCGAAGCGGTCACATAATATTGGCCTTCACAGTAAGCTGCAGCAAACATTGCAGTGAATTGGCCTTGGATGGCCATCTCTCACTTCTTGATATTCCCAAGGCTGGTTGCCACATAGTCACACCCAGCCCTCAATCGCCGCAATTCCGCAGCTATGAATAATACTCAAATTGGTAATTATAGCGAGATAAACGATTCGCTGGAGTCTCGGCAGCAACCGAAGGCACCGAGTCCGATTGTAGATCCGTGAGCGGGGAATGCTGCCGAGCGAATATTTTGGCCCCCCCCCCGGCCGGCGACCGGACTGGACTTGTGGATCGCACACCTGGGGAGCCTCAGTGTGAACCGAGCTGCAATTCAGTATTCATCGGCAAGTCGAAGTCATTCTCCCTCATGAGCTGCCGAAATGCAGATCTCGCCCGACTTCCCGAGATGTGACTATGATGAGGGGTCACACAGGGAAGGATCCATGACGTCGAAAGCCAGGTGTTTCCTCTTGGCTACCCGCAAAACGTGCACGGCTTTGTGCATTTCGGGAAGGTCGAAATCGCTACGTTCACATAAATGGTTGGTGGTATTTGACGTGACAAAACATTTCGATAAGGGAGGTAACATTGGCTAGGGCCAAACGCAATCGATCCCCTGGAGGCTCGTATGACACCACGGAGTCCACGGGAGAGATCAGCGAGCGTTGGTTGCGCAAATGGCACAAATAACGGTGCACCCGCCGGTCGGAAGCTTGTTGCCGCGTCCAGCGTTCATCTGAAGTTCGTCTCATCTTCGTCGTTCAAAGATCGTCGTCAATGATGGCTCCTTCATGGTTGGCCGCCGGCCTTCTCTGCTTTATCAGAGTTTCGGCTGCTCTGGGTCCCCAGCTGAGTCTTCCGGAGATCCGGAAGAGCATCGCTCGCGAATCGGAACCTGAGTCTGCAGCGCCGGAAGTGTTCCGATTGCTCGCCAGTGACGCTGCAGTTGGAGCGCCGGATCCCACAACGCTCTACCGCGCCTACAACTTGTCAGTACCAGTCGACCATTTCCACAACGATTCGCTCTACGAGCCGCACTCAAACGCTTCGTTCCCGCTGCGGTACTGGTATGACGACCGGTTTTACAAGCCCGGCGGCCCGGTGATCGCGCTTGCATCGGGCGAAACCAGCGGACTGGGTCGATTGGCATTCTTGCAGAAGGGCATTGTGGCCATTTTGGCCGAAGCAACCAACGGAGTCGGCGTGATACTGGAGCACCGATACTACGGCAGCAGTGTCCCAACCCCGGACTTCAGCACTGAGAATTTGCGGTTCTTGACCACCGACCAGGCCTTAGCTGATACAGCGTACTTTGCACAGAATGTCGTGTTCCCTGGAAAGCTCGCGAACATTAGCCTAACCGCTCCCGACACCCCCTGGATTTTGTATGGAGGCTCCTACGCTGGCGCGTTCGTCGCCTTTTTGCGTAAGCTGTATCCAGAAGTTTTCTGGGGCGCAATCTCGTCGTCGGGTGTAACGGCGGCTGTTGTAGACTACTGGGAGTACTACGAAGCTGCACGACTGTACGCGCCCGAGGGATGTGCCGAGACGACGCAGAAGCTGACCCACGTCGTTGACAACATCTTGCTTCGACGGGGTAATACCACTGCAGATGACATCGTCCTTCTCAAGACTGCATTCGGACTCGAAAATGTGACGAGCAGTGCCGACTTTGCGAGCACCATCAATGGAGGAATCAGCGGGCTGCAAGGCCGCAACTGGGATCCCGCGATTGATAGCAGGGCTTTCCTGCGTTACTGCGCGAACATGACTTCCGATGAGGTCTACTGGCCAGGAACGGAGAGTCTGGATGGTGCAGTCCGAGAACTGCTCGCCATTGGCGGGTATGAGTCCGAGGTCGAGGAGTTGGCGACACGCTTCAAGAACTACATTGGCTACGTCAACTTCACAACAGTTGCCTCCTGCCGTGGGCAGGATCAAGACGACTGCTTCGGCTCCGGGGACGACGACGCGTATTCTGCGGATGATCTCCGCCAAACTTGGAGACTATGGTCTTGGCAATACTGCACGCAGTAAGTTAATTGACCTTTCCTCTAGCGATCTGGTGGCTAACGTTAGATGTCAAGGTGGGGATATCTCCAAACTGGCTCTGGTGTCCCCGAGACTCAATTGCCGCTGATCTCACGTCTCATCGACCTCAACTACACGACGCAGATCTGCCGCAAGGCGTTCAACGTAACAACACTCCCTGACGTAGAAGCCATCAACAAATACGGTGCCTACAACTTCAGCTACCCTCGCGTAGCGATCATTGATGGAGAGTCGGATCCGTGGAGACAGGCAACTCCGAACAAGATTGGATTGCCTCGGCCGGAGTCGACCATTACCGAGCCTAACCTTGTTATCGGGGGAGGAGCGGTACATCACTGGGATGAGAATGGTTTGTTCAAGAACGAGACCACGGCTGACTTGCCACCTGGACCGGTTAAGGAGGCCCAGGCATTCGAGGTCGAATTTGTAACGGCTTGGCTCAAGGAGTGGAAAGAAACGTACAGTTCCAAGTAGCAACCTACTGTTAGTCCCAAGAGCCTGAAGTCACGCACTGGAGAAGGAACAGAGGCATATAGTATGACCAACTTCAATTCATTAGGTACATAATCCATAATGAGTCGGCATAATCCGAGGCATGTCGTCATAATTGTTCACATCGTCAAGCTCATTTCGTGGCCGCGTTAATGATGATCTCAGCGGCTTTCTCGGCGATGCCATAGACCGCAGTCTGGATATGAGCCGAGATCAATACAGGCATGATGCTTGCGTCAACGACCCTTAGGTTCGTCGTTCCGTAGACCTTCAGGCTTGGGTCAACAACTCCACCATCCTTCTTCGGAAGCATGGCGCAGGTGCCAACGGGATGGTAGATCGATAAAGCCGTCTTAAGGGCAAAGTCCCTCCACTGGGCATCTGTGGTGGTGTTCAAGCCGGGTTCATACTCGGAGATCCAAGTTGATCTCAGAGGCTCTGTGAGCGCAACCTGGCGACACTTCTTGATGGCTTGGATGGCCGCCTGCAAATCGTACTCGTGTGATAAATACTTGGGGTCAATAAGAGGTGGACCCAATGGGTTGGAGGCGTCGATGTGGACGTTTCCACGGCTCAGGGGGTGCATGATGGCGGCGATGAGAGTAACATAGTCTTTGCCGTATCCAGCAGTCCCTTGTGCGGGATATCCCTTGACGCCAGTGTATCCATCGCTAAAAAGAATCTCGAGCTGCGGCACAGTAGTATCGTTGAGCCACTGAAGCTTCTTTTGCTCGACTGGATGATCGGAGGCGCCCACAGCGTCGTGGGCAAGCGCAAGCATGTCCGCTTCACCCTCGTCGCCGAGAGCCTGGTTCCAGTTGGTGAACGTGTAGCCGCTGCCAGAGTATCCGTACATGGATGTCTTGCCATCCCACCACAGTTGCAGTTGCTCGGCCGCATACGCAGTGTCGTACTTTAGGCGATCGTATCCGGTGTAGTTCTTGCTGAGCTCGTATGAGCTTTGGATTCGGATGTGGTCTTGGAGGTTCTCGCCGACGCCTGGGAGGTCGATGATCTGCTCAATGCCTGCAGCCGAAAGCACATCAGAGCTACCGATACCAGAGTTCTCCAAGATTGAAGGGCTGAGGAGGCCGCCGCCTGAAACAATAACCTCGCGACGGGCTGTCAGGATAGTTCCATCGACTAGCGTAACACCGGTAGCTTGATGGTTTCCGTCGGATGTAAGTTCAAGGTTAACCTTAGCAACCTTGGACTCTGTCAAGACGAAGTGATTGGTTCCAGCCAAAGGAAGATAGGAATTGGCGCTGTAAGACCGGTTGTAATGAGTTGGCTCAATGCTGTTAGGCGAGTATAGAACGCCCAAGGAATTGCCGTTCAACGATTCCAGATTGGTTTCGATACCGAGGCTGTTCATCACAGGTATCAAACCAGCTTGGTGCTCGGGGATAAGGCGGTTTATCAGTGCCTTGATCGGGCCCGAATTACCCACACCTTCGCTTCCTGTGTAATACTGCGTGTTGGCCGAAGTAAAATTCTCAGACTTCATCATGGCGGCGCGCATCGAATCCCAGTTCCAACCAGGGTTTCCCAGCTCTTCCCAGCCATCGTACTCATGGGCAGACGCTCTGTCGTACGAAAAGAGGTTCAGCGCGGAACTGCCACCCAGAACATGGCCTCGCGTCTGTACCCAAACGCGCCCGTCGGACCCTTCTTGGGGCACGGTCGTCAAATTCCAGTCGTACTTGGTACCGAATGTCGTGCCTCTGCGTCCAGGGATCTCGATGCGTTCATCCCCAAGACCTGCTTCGCCGGCCTCGATGACAAGGACTGTCGCATTGGGCAGGCCCAGGCTCAGGCGGGTTGAGAGGGCCAGGCCCGCGGTACCGCCTCCGACAATGATCTTCACATTGTCAGCTTTTAGTCCAGATTGGCTTTTCAGCTTACTACATGACACGTACATAGTCGTAGGCTTCAGAGGCCCGCTTGCTAGGAGCCGCGGTCGCGACGCTCGCTAGCAGGGCCGTGAGTATAGTGGCAGGGAGCATGTTGGCTACGACTGATATTAGCTATCCGTGCGCCAGATGAGTTGTGATGATGCGGTTCTAGACTCAAGGGAGTCCATGCTGTTGATGCGACGCGTAAGGCTGTGAATATGAGACGAACATACCTTTCGAGGGTTAGAGGGTGGCACGAACGTCGCGGGAAAGGGTGTCGACGACGATCTCAAGCTGCCCAACACGAGCTTGAATTGGCCCTTGAGTCAGGTAAACAGGAGGGGGTGAGGTTCGTACGGTTGCTCCGGAAAAGGTTCCGTCAACCCTTTTGTACCAAAGATCCTAGGGTGCCATGACAAGCCGATGCGCGATAAAGCGATTCAATTTGCCGTCTGACCAATCACATCGTCCCATCCCAAGGCAAAGGTCCCGATGAAGGCAGGGTTGGTTCCAACGAACCGCAGTACCGGCCCTTGCAGACGCATTACAGCACGCAGACGGATTGGCCAGCTCCTCGGAGAGCAACCTGGGGGTAAACCCGAGTCTGAACGGTCAGGCTGACTCCCGAGTGGGGTGAAGATGGGCGTCCGGTGAGGTTCCATTGCTAGAGAACACCGCCGAGATATTGGACGCCACTCGCAACCTTGAGTGTTCCCAGGGTCCAATGTGTTTTCTTTCCCAACTGCCATGTTTTTGGGAAGGGGGAAGAAGAGGGGTGCCACTGTTGTCGTGCGTTGTGGCAGGGATTCGGCAGTTTACCCCGGTCGTGCCCCCTAACACAGACTCCACGCCGGTAGCGACAGCGGCAGCTGTGGGAAGAAGTTCTGCTTAACGTTCACTGAAGACGACAGGGTATGCTCGGGTTCTGTTCTTGCGAATCCCACAAGAGCATGCGCCAAGGCGGCGCGGAAAGGGGCGAATTTGGCTGTGCTGAAGAATGTGGATAAACGACTCAATTGAGGTCCTGTGCCGATTTTTTATTTGCTCGTCTGCAGTTATCATCACTCAAACAAGACCATCGATTCTTTCTTGGCCTTACGAGAAGTGCTCGAAAGACTTCTTGGACCGCAATAAGTCAACATTCTCCGTTATTCGAAGTAGTTAATGCTGCAGTGGATTCTCGCGATGTCCACCATTAGTAACCTGAAGGCGGGCTGGACCGTCGGTACGGCAGATCCCAGGAGCTTTGGCTCCAGCTTCCATGGACTTGCCTTGTTCGAGAGTCCATGCGATTTATTGGACTTGGGCAGAACTACCTTGTATCTTCTCCTAATCCACCGCCGTCATCATGGACAACATCTCCCTCCCACAAACAAGTTTTCCCCGAGATTCAGATGCCCCGACGTTGGAACATGTCACGGTCCAGTTACTCCGTGAGCAAAGGCTCAAAAGATCTGGAAGAACGCCTCCAATTCGGCATGTCTCACAAACTTCCTCGGGCCGTTGCCTTCTGCAAGGAACTTTGTCATGTCTCATACGCCCTGCGACCGGTTCGTCTCTCTCGCTGGGGCTTTTCCGATCTCACTTGCCTTTCCTAAAATAATGCCCAGACATTCAGTGGAGATGCGAGTCAGGAAGCCTGAAAACAACCAACAAGGGCCCCAACCGAGGGCATTGGCATCCCTTGTACTTATGTGCGCGACTGCGTGGCACGCTGGTCGCACAGGAGATTCCGCACTCTGGGGAGGCCTTCCGCTGCATTCTTGCGCGCTTCGAAGCCTCTGCGGGTGGAAAGTCTAATGCCATCTGGCACATTTGAATGGCCATGCCTTGACCGAGTGGTGTCGCAATATCTGGGACCCCCAGCGAGTTCGCCCTTGAACAGTCGGACGAATTACCTACCCCGTCTGGCAAAGAGTCCTTGCAGAATATGTGTATCAAACAGAATACTGTGGCAGGCTGTCGGTCGGACCGTACGATGGACATATAGAACCCAGCCTCGTGCACCGACTGGTCCAAGATATTTTACCGATTTCGTGGCTTCGGACACCACGCTGAAGTCAAGACTGTTCTGTTGAACAGCGTCGATGCGAAATGCCAGCCATGGGGCATCTCAAATCGATCCTGATGGTGTCGACAAGCATCCTCCAACGAGACGAGGCGCTCCCTCCCGACGAAGACATCGGCCCCGCCTCCGTTGCAACCGCGGCCATCCTGACGGCACTCATGATCATCACCACCAGTGCTCGAATATGGGTTCGAGCAGCGAACCGAAAACTTGGCTGGGACGACTGGACGATTCTTATAGCGAGTGGGGTTTCGATCGTACGGTTTGCGTTCGTGGTCAAGCAACAACAGTACGGCAACGGCAGACACCGCGTCTATCTCAGCGACCATGACTACATGATGATCAACATGTACGGATGGTGGGGTCAGATTCTACTCTTCCTCGCAGTGGCCTTTCTGAAGGTCTCGATCTGTCTCCTAATTTTGCGGATCAAAGACACCAAGGTCTTGAAGATCCTGCTGTACACGATCATGGCAGGAGTCTTGATCTCGAATTTTGGAGTGGTCATTATTCTGGTTGCGGAATGTCAACCTGCGGGTTTCTGGCGAGGGAAGTCTGCAAAATGCTGGCCAACACAGATCAGGATTTACTCGATTTGGGCTACAATTGGTACGTTGATCCAGTCCAACAAGATCTTGATACCATGGAGACCGAAGGGGCTATTCTGCGTAATGGAACTAACACTCAAATAAATAGCCTTCTCGGTTTTGACCGACCTCATATGCTCCCTTCTGCCTCTAGCTGTCGTCTGGAACGTTAATATGCCGAGACGGACAAAAGTCTCAGTGTGTTTCTTGATGGGACTGGGCTTAGCGTAAGAACAATTTCCACTATCCATATGCCGCGGATCCTCCCTCTCTGCGGCCTAGCTTCTCTGTGTCAGTTCTACTGCTAACTAAGAATCCAGTGCAACTGGCTTCGGTGTTGCAAGAGCCGCATCTCTTGGTATCAACACCACCGATCTGAGCTGTAAGTCTCCCATTCTGCCTGATAAAATGATATCTTACAAATTCTGGACAGGGGCATACTGCATTGCCGGCATCTGGTCAAACCTCGAGCTCTACCTCGGCATCATCGCAGCGAACCTGGCTCTCTCGCGGTCGATATGGGTCCATTTCTTCGGCAGCAACGATGCCCAAGCGATCCCTGGCTCGACCGGCCGTTCGAATCCTGCCGAGTCGGGTTACGTCAATAGCAAACTCCGAGGTGACCAATTCGAAGTGCCATCGACAATGGTCCGTTCCCGCCGACGGGGATCCGAGACGAGAAGCTCGAATAGCGATATCCCTCTACAGCCTGGTATCCAGAAAAAGACAGAATTCTGGTGGACGGAGGATGACGAGAGCCAGTCACAAACGCCGTTGAAGAGGTGATCGGATGTCGGAGGGATAAGAGTGCGAGCGGTCTGGCGGTGGATAGGGCAGCGCAATCAATTATGATTATGATCGTACGAATACCCACTGGAAGGGCCCATGTCAGTCCCCATCGTGAAAGAATTCTGCCGGACCCATGCTTGGCGTCGAGCACTGCGGAATGTGGCCCTGTGCTTTAAGCTTACCCGACGTCACGCGAGCGGCGGGGAGATAGGCTAAGTTTGGATGAGCAGTCAAGTCCGCATTCGTAATCAGAGGCTAATCTTCAGATATCACAACGACCAACTTCGCTCCACCGCCGCCGCTTTCCAATATTTCGTGGACCTTTTGGATCTCATCCAATCTGAAAGCTTGGACTGGGACTCTGATCTTCCCATCTTCAACGGCCTTGATAAGCTCATCCCACGGACACGCCCTGAAATCATCCGGCCCACCACCGTATACCGAAAGCCGGACTCGGTTCGGGAGGAACTCGAACGGGGAGAACTGAGTTAGCTCCCACTCGCCACCCTGAATACCTGCCATGCACACTGTTCCCATGTCCACGGCGCACCGAGCACTATCTCGTAAAGTCGTTGTGCCAACTAGTTCCAGAATCTTGTCGAACTTGCCTGCACTGCTCGCCGAAACATCTGCTTCGATGCTACCGCCATCAACGTAGACTTCATCCGCGCCATGATCCTTGAGCATCCTGGTCCTCGCCTCGCTTCTGGTCGTGCCACCAATGCGGGATGCCCCCAGGTACCGCGCCATCTGAATTGCGCAGAGACCAATTGAGCTTGTGGCGCCTCTGACCAACAGACTCTCCCCACGTTTGAAATCCAGCCCTTTCACTAGGGCGCCGTAAGTGGTCTGGAACATCTCAGGCAGAGATGCAAGGGTGGCGATCGGAAGGCTCGTCTGGGGGAATGTGCGAATATTCTCGGCTGGTACACAGACATACTCGGCGTAAGAGCCGGGAATTTCGCGGCCGAGACCTCCCATGCAGGTTGCGACGCGGGCCCCGATCGGGAGACCGGCGGTGCCGGGGGCAGAGGCGTGGTACGCGGCGACGGTTCCGACACACTCGATGCCAATGATCCGAGGAAATTGAACCCCGGGAGAATGACCCTGGCGCGTGAACATCTCTGGACACTTGTTAGCTCTATGCAACTCACTTCAGAACTGGCATTCAATCTTACCAGCTCTATTGATGCCGAACCCGAGGATTTTGATCAAAACTTGTCCGGGCTGGGGAACAGGGACTGCTGTTTGTTGAATCTGCAGCACGGAGACCGGGCCAGTCGTAGGGCAGATCACCGCCCTCATAACTTTGGGAACGTGCATGGTTTCTACCTTGAATCAAAACAAATGAATTATAAACCGTGAGAAGGGGTTTCAATCCATTCAACAACTAGTGTGTTGCCTCTTTTATCGTGCCGGGCAATGTCAGTCAGAGTCACACAGTTGTCCATTGGTAGCTGCATGCTTACACGTTATCACGGTGCGGGGGTGTTTTGGTTCCGAGGGGGCTTACAAGGAAATCTCGGCTTTGACCAATCTCGTTCTCGTTCTCGGGTTTAGAACGCCATCTATCTCCGATTCCGATGATTGGAGCTAAAGGATCAACTTAGAAAGAATCGGTCGTCAAATGCAATTAATGACTTAGGACAGCATTCGGTTTGGGCTTGCCTCGGCGGAAGTTTAATCGGGAGAAGCAATGCGAGAGCTGACGCTGCCCCGCGTTCCCGTGTGTTCGCAAGCTCCGCCCCGTCCTCAAAAGCAGTATGGGCCCAGTGCCGGTGCGGCGGGATGGGGCCGGATAACCGGGTCTTCCCCTTCCGAGTGCCGGACGGCTTACCCCTCCTAAGGGGGCTACCGAGGCGGGGTGGCGGTGTCTTCTGGGCGCCATTGCCGTGGCAGCAGGACCGAGAGCGCACCGGACCTTCCTTTATTTTTTTTGTGTCTTTTTTTCTTTTCATTGAAGCCCAGCATTCATCATCCCAACTGCCATCCTCAAGTGCGGCGGGCCAGTCGCACCCTCGTCATCAACATGCCGCAAAATGAGTATATGTAACGGTGGAGGAAGAGGCATGGACAGCGGTATATTCATCCCACTTCCAAGGTTCACCCGGCCTGGTGCTAAACGTTTACCTACATCACAGAAAGCGCCTAGCAGTCCCAGGTTGAGATTACAGCATATTCAAAAGCTTACTGGCCGGATGATAGGCCAAAGGAAGGGATCCAGATAATGAACAGGATACCAAACTGAACCAGAAGCATATACTGGAAAGTCTCCAGCCCTGCCACCTGCGTGATGGCCCCCAGCATGTACGGAAGCAACGCGCCGCCAACCTGCCCGAGCGAAGCGACAAATGAGACAGCAGCGACATGCAGCTCCTTGGGCAACAGATTGACCAACTGGACGATGGCCGAAGGGAACAGAGGCCCCATCACGAATCCAAGCAGAGCCATAATGACGACCGAGAACCACAACACCCGAACGAAGATGAACAGCAAGGTGAACACTGGAGCGAAGATGAGGTAAAGGACGACGGCGCGCTTGACACCCAGCTTGTCAGTCACCACGCCCAGCATCAGCCGCCCCGCTGCCATACCGGCCCAGAATGCGGACGAGCAGATGCTTGATGCGTAGGTGCTCGCGTGCCGGACGCGAAGCATGAAAGCTACGATCCAGCCGGAGATGGTGCACTCGGCTCCGACGTATATCAGCAGGTATCCCGCGTATACCCATGTTGCCTTGTATTTGAAGATGGCGCCTTTGGAGGCAGGGTCGCTTGCGATCTCTTGGTATAGCTTGCTTTTGTGGTATCTTTCCGCGTTCTCACGTCTGAAGGCCCAGCAGAGGATGCCAGATTCGATAGCAGCTGCTGCGGTCTGAGATCTCTGTTAACATACCAAATCACTTGCAAAATTCGCTCGGGAAAACCTACCAGGACGTAGTACCAGCGATACCACAATCCGCCGTCTTCCGAGAGCATCAAGCCCACTAGATAAGGACAAATAGCGGCCCCCGTAGAGAACGAACCATGCAGCAGCCCTGACAAGGTGTTTGCATTATCCAAAGCGGCGAACCAAGCACACCACGACCCATCCACAAGTCCAACTCCAAATGCTCCAGCGGCCGCACCCATTAGGAACACCGGGAATGGGGGACGAGCGGCAGCCACAGCTGCATAGAGCAGATGGCACAGCGGGCCGATGACAGCAATCCCTCGTTGGCCGAACTTGGCATGGACCGAATCATTGAGATACGACGCAATAACGTAGCCAATAGGCCCGACGAGGAAGAGCGCTGAAACTTGGATATCCGTGAGTTGGTAGGACTCCTCTAGATGGGGAATGACGGCGCCCGTCGTTGACGTGAACAGTCCAACCACCGCAAAAGACCATGCTGCTGCCACGATTCGTAAGATTGCTCTTTCTTCGGGAATATCGTCCGTCGATGTTTGCGAGCCGCGGTTACTGTCCAGGAGTCCATCTTCAGCGAGATGCGCTTGTGTCGCTGGCTCAAGTAAAGGCTCGGTCTCCCCCGTGCGGGACGACGTCGGTCGATGCGGTTTGGGTGGCATGTTGAACTGATTCCGCGATCTTGATACTGTTTGCATACTTCAATTGGAACGGGTTCGGGGTGTGTTGTGTGTTGTGTGTTGAGAAAGGACAACCTGTATTGTAAGTCGAGTTGTTGCTGGAGAAGGTTGGGGGCTGCAGGGATCAGGTGACGTCTGTCCGCGGGAACTATGGCCCAATTAGGCAGTAATTACAGCGCACCTTGCTGGATTGGGAGAATGTTTCAGCGGCTTCAGGGATGAATTGTGTGCCAGAACATCTCCAAATGAAGGAATTGGCGGCTATGGGGACTATCTTAGCCAATCGTACAAAGGTCAGGCCTCTGGTGTTTCCTACATGCATGCTATGCTCTTTACTAGGGCACGTATGTGCTAGAGCACGTTAATCTCTCTCAAGGTGGGAATGTTGATGCTTGTGAAAATTCCTATGTTGCTAATCGCTTCCGAACTATTGCTACTACCTAATTCAATAACTTGGTTTAAAGGATCTGACTCAATTATTCAGCTCTCTACACCAGCTCTACCATCAGAAAAGATAGGTTCCCACGAAGAGGGTACAAAGTATGAATTTCGCCGCCCCGAGTTGCACTATAGGTCACTATCTTTTGCACTCCCAGCAGAGAGGGTTGCGACCAAACACATGCAGCTGCATGCTATTACTACCTTTTCAAGGCTTGCGATCACCTCAACGAAGGGAGAATTGCACTAGTGAAAGCCAGAATAATGATGAACGACAACAGGAACCTTCTGACTCTTGGCACATCTGGTCTCTCGATATGAGCAAAGTTCTCAGCCCCGAGATGACAACGCTTATATTACAATCTGATTGTTGTGCAACAGCACCTTCTGAATAAGCTTCAATCCTTTCGGGAGCTCGTTCTGGCTGACGGCGTTCCCGCCGTTGACGTTAACCACGTCATTCTTTACCCTGTCCAAGCAGCTCAAGCATGCCAAGACAACTTGCGAGTACTTCTCTCCTGTCAGTTGTGGTACTTGACTGTGCGCTAAATGTTCCAAGTAGTCTTTATTGGGCAAAGCAAGCTTTGGTCACCTCAAAGTTCCTGGTCAGCCCAAATGGGGATCACGGCCGCAGTGGTGAACCCGTAGGGTAACGACAGTGCTTCGAAACCCTTGCAGCTTATCAAAGGGTTCGTTACAGAAAGCAACTTGCTAAGGCTTACTTACTCGATGTCAGACGTTACGGTAATGCCCGGTGCGGTCGGTGGTTGCCGTGGACTGAGCGCTTACATCGAACCAGTTGCCTCCCGGGTTCGAGGCACACACATCGAAGCCAACATATCGTTTGACGTCCTGGCACGACCGACCAAGCTCCAGGTCTCAAGACACGACCTGGGCCCAGCTAGCCTTTGAACAATTCAAAATGGTGGTGCGAGTGTCGCCTGCCTTAACCACTGTGTGTGTGTGTGTGTGTGTGTGTGTGTGTGTGTGTGTTACCAAAGTTTGTAGATATAATATTTTATAGCATCTCATAAGAGTATCAATACTTCTTTTCACAACTACATTCTGGCAGAGTGTCTCATTCATCACAATATATAATCGCAAGTGTATGATTCTGGTGTCTCCATATTAAGTATCGTAAGGCCGGGCTTCAATGCCGAGCCAGCACGGTAACGATCACCAAACCTCAGAGTTTCACCTCGATGTCATTCTGAGCGCCGCCAACTCCCTTCCACGTCCTCCGCAATCCATTCTCCGAGTCTCCAAACACCGGGTCGAGCTTTGGCTTCGGCACGCCCCAGACCTTTTCGAAGTCGCCTCCCCCGAGCACAAAATCCCACTCTCCTCCGCTGTAAGCACCCATCATCGTGTACCCCGAAAGCTCAACCTTCCCAAGCGCCTCTCGCGGGTTATCGGCCTCAATTCCATGTCCCTTTCCAGGACTCAGAAGCCCAAACGGCGCCTCTGGCCTCGTGTTGTATGTCTTGTGCGCCACTCCCGCGGGGATGATAAAGACGTCGCCAGCTTCTGCCTGAAGCTCCACGCCACCCTTCTCCCAGGACGACTCGTACGTGTTCTTATCCAGGTCCTCGTCGGTATCTGCTACGCCGAAGCGAATCGTGGCGTTTCCAGACAGAACGGCCATGCACTCGTGGGCCTTGGAGTGGAAGTGTGAGAGCTGGGTCTGGCCGTATCGGAAGATCCATTGGACGTCCCATCCGTTGGTCGTGAATCTGTCCCATACTTGCAGTGCAGAGCAGTGCGACGTCTTGGGGTCCTTGGGTAGGACGTTCTTGTACTGCAAGAGCGGACGAGGCGAGTTCGGAACCAGGTCCGTTGGGAAGAGATGGTATTGTCTGATTTCAACCATTTTGTTGGTGTCTCTAGTGTGCTGATGACGCGTGTCGATCTAAAGCTGCAGCTTCAAAATGTAATTCAAAAATGAAGTTGGGTACAACCCATCGTCAACGGTCTTGTCGGGTTGATATATCACGGTTGGAGAATCGGCAAGTCAGCCGAGGACCAGCGAATCGGGTATCGCATCCGATCCGGAATTCCACCTCCGTTTTGTAAGTTCGTCATCGCGACCCCGCACGCTCCAATCGCCCCCCGGATGCGGAGTCCGGTCCGGATGTCTCCCATTTCCTTTTCTGCTTTTGGCATATCACCTCGGCGGATTTCTTGGCGGACTTGCCAAGATAGAGTCGTTATCACGACCATTGTTCATGGCATTGGCGCGTGAAAAGGCAGCCCATGACAACTTGCCAGACTGCATCATAATCTACACATATCCTTTCTTGCTCCTCCCATGGGACACATGAGAAACGATAGATATACCGGAGTAAGGGTATGCAAGTGAGAAAAGTGGATTCCATGATCATCATTGTGATTGACACATTGAACCCATGTCCAAATTGTCGCTAAATTTCGCACAATCATCTAGTCAGTCCTGCTTCAACCCTATCATAACAGATTCTTCATCGGAAGGACCTCGTCTTTTAGACAGCTTCTGACTTCAATGGCGCATCAGTTGCGGTCGAAAAATTGATGGGGCAATTGTGTTCCTTGAGTCCGGTTAGTGTTGGATGCATCCCGAGCTCGTGCCTCATGATCGTACCATGACTTTGGTGAACTGGTCGTCAAAGAACAATTCAAACCGAGATGTAATTCCAGGACTGAAATCGTCAAATTCGGGGACAACCGAGGTCGTGTACGTGCGATATATTGCAGCTACCAATGTCGTCATTTCGGCCATTGCGAGACTGTTGCCAGGTCAGTTTTCTACAAAAGCCGACTTAAGGATTACTGTCATTATGAGGAACAGAGCGTGCAGGATACGATGTTTGATTGAATGACAGAGTCAATATGCACCGGAGAGGAAAAGGAGAAACATACTGCAAGCCGATACACATGCGGCCGCCGCTGGAGAAAGCCCAAAACCAGCGGTTCATCTCCGCCGCTTTAGGTCCTAACCATCGATCAGGATTGAATCTCAGAGGCTCTTCAAATACTTCCGGGTTGCGGTGGAGACTATAGGGTGACATGCTGACTGTGACATGCGCCGGAATCGTGTAACCGTCGACATCTGACTCGGTCTCAAGTGAACGAGGCTCAGAAGCGGGAAGAGGAGCGTACAATCTCAGTGTCTCTTTGATGATAGCGTTGAGGTACTGGCATTTATCGCTCGCCTCGGCCTTTGGCAACCCGTGATCATTCAGGGAGTCCGGGGGTAAGTTGAGGACTTCATTTCTCAGTTTGTCCTGGCATACGCGATGCTCTTTACGTGATAGTGCCCAAATGAGGTACATCAGCGTGTCACTTGTGGTATCGATGCCAGCCAGAAAGTGATCCGCACACTCTGAGGCTATGTCGAGGTCGTCCATCGTACCTAGTTTGCGTTGCAACGCAAGGCGATCGACTATACAGCATGTCGCGTCGTCCTCTGCCGTAAGGATTAGTCGGGAGATCACCTCGGAAACTATGGGATTCGCGTTTAATTGACATACCATTCTTTCCGTCGGAGTTGTTGGCTGCTAGAGCTGCTTTCCGAGACTGCTCATATGCTTCCAGGGCAAACTTTCGGATGCCGGTGTAAGTGGCTGGCTTCGCCATGGGAAGAACTGGCACAACCATGCGCTCCATCGTATGCGTCCGAGTGTACAGCCATTTTGTCAGCGATGGAAGGTGTACCGCGAACCAAGAAAGCCGCCGCCGGGCTGGATTGAGGATATCCTCAAGCAGGGCCTGGTCCGTCTTGAAGCCTTGCAAGGCAGATGTCGAGCCATGCCTTCCGTATATGAATGCCGTGATACTATCCAGCGAGTAGTAGTGCAGAGTTCTGAATGTTTCGCTAATGAGGCGAGGTTCCTGCGCAACCAGAGACATGTATTGCCTTGTCTTCTCCTCTATCATGGTGGAAACTGGGACTTTGAGGATGTTCGTCTTCGAGTAAGCATGGGCAAGAAGTCTTTTGCGTTCTCCGTGCTTCTGGGTTGAGTGGAAAGTGAACAGATTCTGCCGGCCGTAGACATCAAACATCCGGTAGAAGGAAGTCCTGCCATACCTGCTTCCGGGTCCGTAGATGGTCCGGAGAGCACTCAAACTATTGAAAGAAACTTCGTCGGGTCCGATTCGGACGGCCGGACCGTATTTCTGATGCAATCGATGGATCGTGCGCGTTCGGGTTCCCCTCCAGTCTTCGAAGGCTAGTCGCCATTTCGTCAACGCAAACGACTTCGGCCCCGGTACATGCCTCAAGGGACTCAGCAGAAGTGAATTGAAGATGAGTTGTTTGGCCAAGAAAACCCCGAGTATGGCCAGTGCCACGGTAACAGAAATTGGTGCCATCATAAAACGCTCGTTCCGTGTTGTGTGAGGCTTATCACATTGAGTTGAGGAGTCGTGCCAATCGGGGACCAAAGTTACGTAGTACCCCAACTCGTTATCGGAGCGTGTGGTAAGTCCGACACCGCGTGCATCTATCATATGTATCACGGAGCGTCATTATCTAAGTGACTATTAGTCAGAATTTGAGATTGCCAACACTTCTTGTCGATCAAGACGCGACAATTTACAGATGTAAATGGCTGGACCACAACGATCTTCGATCTCAATGGGCAGGAACTACACGAGGTCTCGCTGTCCCGTACAAAGGATAATAGCACCGATTCTGGTGTCTATGCGCAAGATCAAATATCCTTCTGGCTGTCTCCAAAGCACCGAATCAAATGTCTTTGCTTGTTGGTAGCGGCAGCACAAAACTCGTGTAGCTACCAACGAATGACCATGAGTTCTTCAGCAGGTTGATGAGTTTCGCCTGTCGTTGTGAGCCTCGATCTCGGTATTGAATTCAATTGTGCTGTCGACTCTAGTGGGTTGACTTTTCTTATTGTTAACTTCTTGGCGAGATAGCTCTTGCGGCTCAAGAGTCGTGATGAACACCAACGACAGCATCGCATGGTGATGGTGGAGTGCAACACCCACGAGTGGACCTGAAAGAGGCAAGCGCATCGCGAAACTCGCGCATGGCTCCAATTTTTATTCGTGAAGGTACATTTGAACCGGTAATCCGAAGAGACCCTTGCAGCCATTTCTGCCGACGTGTCGTACGAATTCTCTACACGGGAGTTTCCATCTCGCAGCCTAGTGCTTATCGCGCGCCATTCTGAGTTACATCGAAACGCATGTCCCGTATTTCCGTCGGGTCCGGCCCGTTTACGACGGCCCTGTTCTGTTTATCTGGCCAGTTTGTTGGCAGCCCAAAGCCCACCATATCCACAGCGAAATGGACTTTTGTCACTTAGCCGCAGAGAACCAACATGGACCCCTACATGCTCATGCTGACGATCATCAACAGCTCGGACTTTGGTCCCCAATGGGAAGCAGGAAACTTCAATCTGATTTGCAAGATACGTTTCAGTTCAGGCCCCTTAGGATAGTCCCAGTTATAACACATGTCCAGGTGCGACGACATACAAAATGGACCGAATTCCCCGCGACAGACCCAGAGGGCGTCTCTTTCTTTGAGATCCCAAAACCATATTATTGTCCCTGACCCGACTGGAAAACTCCCAAAATGTCTAACCCCGGCAAACGAAAAATCCTCATTTTCTCGGACTGCGACTTCGGGCAAGCAAATGTCGTCCTTTCTACCGTTTACGCACTGGTCCGCGCCGACCCCAACATAGAGATACATGTCGCATCACAGCCGGGCATGCAAGGGCAGCTTTCCCTTATCATCAAGCAGGTGTCCAATGATCTTGGATTTGCAGCCGCAGAATCTATCAAGGCCCATGACTTGGTCGGGTTATCTCACTGGGAAGCCATGGAGAGGCCTGGTAACCCCAATCTCGACTCTTGGGCGTGCGATCCGACGATCCCAAACATGGTCAGCATGCTGTCTGTTCTTCCGGGCATCACTCTCCCGTGGAGCGCAGAGGAGTTTGTCGAGATCTACCGGGACGTGGAGCGTGTATGGAGCGAGGTTCAGCCAGACGTCACCGTCGTTGAAAACTTCTTCGCCCCTGCCCTTACCTTCTGCCATAACCTCCGCCCAAAAACACCGTGGATAGTCCTGGCTCCGAACACCATCAAAGAATTTGCCCTGTCTGCACAACCAGGATTGCCCAGTCTTTGGAAATATCCCATGTAAGTCTATCGAGATCACGTCCGTAGACGGATGCTATCATTTGGGTGATCATCTTGCTCACATGGCCCAGTTTCAACTCCGCCATTTCATACCCGGTGCCTCTTCACCAGATCCCGCTAAACATATTCTATAACATAGTCGCGATGATCGCCATATTCACGAGTAGGAGACGGGGGCGTTGTATAAACCACATGAACGAACAGCTGGGTCAAGGGCTTCAACTCATCACTGTCAACGAACTCGGTCTGCTCGCTCCGCCGCCACCTGGAATTCGGGTGATGGTCGCAAACAGCCCGGACATCGACTTTCCATTTGACGTCATTCCCAATTTTATGGTCCCCTGCGGTCCAATTACAAGACCTGCAGCGCCTATCTCGACCGAAGATCCGGAACTCGCACTTTGGCTCAGTCGCGGCCCGACAGTTTACATGAACCTTGGAACACATCGTTCGTTCGACGTTGCCAAAGCAAGAGAGGTGGCCTACGCTTTCCGCAGTTTATTCGACGCTGCAAAAACCTCTCATCTCAATAATTTGCAACTCATTTGGAAGATGCCCAGGGTAGCATCGGAGGGAGACACTTCTGGCTTTGAGGGCCCTTGGAAGGAAATCAAGGACATCCTCGAGTCTGAGATGGACCAAGACCGCGTCAGGATTGTAGATTGGATTACTGCTGAGCCCAAGTCTCTGCTTCAATCTGGCCGCATTATCTGCTCAGTCAACCACGGGGGATCCAACTCTTTCCACGAAGCGATATGGTATGTAACCATACACTCCTGATTTGGGTGTCATCAGAGCTAACACGAAGGCTTTTCACAGCTGTGGAATCCCTCAAGTTATCCTACCAGGATGGGCTGATTGTTACGATTTTGCTCTGCGCGCCGAATTCCTGGGCATCGGCAAGTGGGCGAGCCGTACCGCACGGCCGTTATGGAAGCGAGACGAGCTTGCCAAGGGCCTTGAAGAGGTTCTTTTAGGTCCTCAGGCAATGGACATGATCAAAAGAGCCCAAGAACTTGCGAAGCGACACCCGGAAGGCGCAGGCCGTGATCGTGCCGCAGAAGAGATTCTGAAACTATTGGATGGCAACAACACGAACGGGGAAAATGGAAAGTACTAAATCTTGTTCTCAGGGTAGGATGATAGATATAATCATAGATTCGGGGCGCAACGCAGATCTTTAAAGTCACTGTCTTCATCATTGTCAGTCGCTCTTATATCATCATGTTCATCATTGTCATTAACACCCTCTCCATCATTATCACCACTGAGGTCTTCACACAAGCCGTGTAAGATCTCAGGTCTGTTGTTATGGCCTGCTGGAAAGCTGAGTGCTCTAGCAGATATTATTCCACTTGCTCTCGCCTTGTTCTCATCCGCAGCAAAAGGCAGCTGTGCGGAACGGATAAGTCATTATGTATTTTGAGACGATTGGGAACAGTCTTCCTTTGGTATGATTGCCAAGCTGGTTCCCTCTTGGAGGCAATGAGCAATCACGAGAATGCTTTTAGTAACGCGAGGTTTCCCAGTCAGACATGGAGTGGGGCAGTGGATGGGTTCGCCAATGGTTGTACATGGCAAACACTGGAGTATACATGCAGGGTGTGTGCGATTTTTATAGCCTGGCCTGTGATTCTGTAATTTAGCGTCGATCAAGGAGTCTTTTCAAGGCCTAAGTGAAGCATGAGGATGAAGTCAGGCGAAATCAGGCTTTACAGCAACGGCACTATAAAAGATGTCATCAGTGACGTTTCTAGCACGGAGATAGTACTTGCAGCAACGTAGCCACGCTCTTCGTTGGTGACCTTGACGCATTCACCCTGGACTTTCTCTGTGTTTCCGCAAACCAACAATGGGCCCATGCTATTGCAAATGGCCAGAGGAGACTAGAACAGAAGTCGGTTAGCTTGCATTGAGGCTTTTCTTTCCATAAGTCCTCTCAATTTCAACTTACGCAGTCGGCGGACCGGTCCATGCACTGACTCGCAGCGAAAGGCGCGAGCAAGGCGGCCATAAAAGGGATGATGCTGAATTGACGCATTATGAAATCGTGAATGTTGTGGTGACGTAGAGAAAACCTGGTAAGCGAGGTTTTCTCATAGAGTCTTGAAGCTCAAGGTAAGGCTAATTTCATGATGTTGGCGGATACGGTCTGAGCCTGGAACGACGGACAGACCTAACTATATTTATAACTTTGGGATTTAAGACTTTGCAATCCACAGACTAGAAACACCGGCTGAAATGTTCTTGCTTTATTCATCCTATTGAATACCGTCCTACAGGGTAACCGGGTGGGCTATGGAATTTCCGCAATATAATGCCTAGGGATGCTCGTGGGAGGGTTTCCGCGATGGTGGGAAATCACTATTTTCGCCCCGGCTGGTTAACAGCATCGCATGGTAATTGACTCGATGTGGCGGTGTATACGTGACGGCCGTCAAACAATCCAGCAAAGAAAAAGGCCGGGGGAGCTTTATGGAGACTTCGTTATATGGAAAGCTCCGTAAGGTAAGGACAGTGAGACTTCGTTATGTGGACAGCTCCGTAAAGGCTTCAAGGGCCGCAGTGACCTTTCAGACCGTTTATTCTCTCGGTCTCGGTTCGTAATTTAAGTGCCAAGGAATCTAATGAGGTCGCAAATAAGAGGCTGCTAGCCGCATCGCCAACACCGTCACTGTGGCCGAGATGGGTCATCGCTAGGCCTGACTCTTCCATCAGGGAGAAAGAACAATCACGCACTCGCCGTACCCACCTTGTGTGAAACGAGAGCCCTGGTTATTTAAGCTGCCCTTTGAGATACGGATGTTACTTCAGGTGTTTATAGATAAGCAACGGCCCAGATAGGGCACAAGTGAATCATCCGATATCTAATTGATGTTACTGGCCCCAAGAGATAAGCCCCCCGCACCAGATGCATCGGCATGTCCAACCGCTAGGTCCCCTCACATCGGTGACGTCTGACCCGTCTGATGGCCAAAACCACACCCCAGCATAGTTGCTGAGTGCTATTATCTTTGGTAGAGAGGAACGCCCACATCAAAACGAACACCTAGAGTTTGAGGGTAGAAGCACGGATGATTACGGGAAACCTCAGCGAAACAGAACGATCATCATGTCTGCTTTAGACTCTGCAAGACTATCCTTCATATTGGACCTCCAGAGGCCGCCAACTCTGGTGTCTATCTTGACAACAATCACAATCCTGCTAATATCTTATTTCGTTTACAATGTTCGTCCCCGCTCCTCTTGCCGGCCGAGTTTCCGCCGCCTGACAAGGAAATCTCTGACCATGATAGGCTGCCTTCAGCACCGATATACCATTCATCAAGGGCCTTCCGGAGATGTCCGGTTCGATTCCGGTGTTCGGGCACCTCCTCAAGCTAGGTGAAGACCACGCGTCAACATGTGAAAATTGGTGGCGCGAAGGAAACCCGTCGGTATTCCAGATAAAACTCGGTAATACCAGGGCTGTGGTCTTCAACTCCTTCGAGGATGTACGCCGACTCCTCATCGGTCACCAGAACGCCGTCATTGATCGGCCCAAGCTATACACCTTTCATGGCCTCATCAGCTCTACCCAAGGCTTCACCATCGGCTCTTCCCCTTGGGATGACTCCTGTCGCAAAAAGCGCAAAGCCGCGGGCACTGCCCTCAGTCGGCCGGCCCTGCGCAATTACTACCCTATGTTCGACCTCGAGAGCTACTGCATCCTCCGCGACCTGCACAAGGACTCCCACAACGGCGAGCTCGAGATTAGTGTACGACCTTACATCCAGCGCTACGCCCTGAACACCACACTCACTCTGTGCTACGGCATCCGTATGGACGCCGTGTACGATGACCTCCTCCGTGAGATCCTGCACGTCGGCTCGGCCATCTCTCTGCTTCGTAGCGCGTCTGAGAACACGCAAGACTACGTTCCCATCATGCGCTACTTCCCCAACGATGAGAAAAGCCGCCGCTCCAAAGAGCTCCGCGAGCGTCGCGATACGTATCTCAACCATCTCCTCGACAAGGTCCGCTCTATGATCGAGCGCGGCACCGACAAGCCTTGCATCTCGGCTGCGATCCTGAAGAACGAGGAGACGAAGCTCACGGGTGTTGAGGTGTCCTCCATTTGCTTGTCGCTTGTTTCTGGTGGTTTCGAGACGATTCCCGGGACTCTGACATCGACCATCGGAACGCTTTCGACGAAAGAGGGACAGTTGTGGCAAGACCGCGCCTATGAGGATATCAAGAGGCATTACCCAAGCATACAAGACGCATGGAATGCCTGCTATACCGAGGAGAAGGTTCCGTACGTCAACGCAATCATCAGGGAAGCTGGAAGATACTACACCGTCAGCTCGATGAGTCTGCCGCGGAAGACTGTCACAGAGATTAACTGGAACGGCGCCGTCATTCCGCCCAAGACAATGATACTTGTCAACGCTCAAGCTGGCAACCATGGTTCGTTTGCCCTTTATCTGAAAGCCGCGTGTCCTCGTATTGTCCGTTGAATCTAATGGTGAACATACACAGACAGGAATTACTTCGGTGAAGATGCTGGCAAATTCGATCCGGAGAGGTGGCTCTCCTCAACCAACCCGCCCACTGAGAAAGATGTCTCCGGCGTCGGCCATCTAAGTTTTGGGCTTGGCTCTCGCGGTTGCTCAGGCCAGTATATTGCCCAGCGCCTGTTGTACGCCGCTTTGATTCGCCTGCTGTCCTCGTACAAGATCGTAGCGAGCGAGGATGAGCCTCCCAACACCGACTACGTCGAGTACAACCAGTTCAAAACGGCGCTCGTGGCGATTCCCAAGGACTTTAAGGTCAAGCTCATCCCCCGAGACACAGCCGTTACCGAGGAATGTCTCAACGCCGCCGAGAAAAAGACCAAAGAGCATTACGTAGAATGAAGCCATCTTGCTGGTTTGCGCATGTGGTAATACTCAAATGTGGCAACATGAAAAACTGGGTTGGATGACAACATACCAGGAGAGCGGATGTGAGGGATTATGTTTAAGCAGTCAGCATGAGAAGGGGCAAAGAGATCTGGAACGTCAGCCGCATTTCCGAAATGCCATCACCATCCAGAATAAGATAATGAGATATCCTTCAAGATATCTAACTTAATGCCCAGCACAATATGAATTCCTCAGCTGCTTCCCTTCGCATAAGCTCCACCAGGGTACCTCACAGGCCCCTAAACATCTCCCGGAATCGCCTCTTCCAGCTCTGGCTCCAGCTCGCTCTCATCCGCTTCCATCCTTGTCGACTGGAACGAGAAGACAAGATCATTCTTCTCCGTACTCACGACACTCGCCAGTTGCGTAGCGTACATTGAATCTGCAGCTTCTTCATCAATCGCATCAATTGCGTTTTCTTTGCTGTCAGCTGACTCTGTATCCTGAGCCTTACGGCGTACCGCACCTAAACCTCTTCCGGGTGCCATGCCCCCACCGGCTGTGCCGTTTTGACTGAATAACTTGGACCAGCCGTATACGAAAAAGATTCGAATCGCAGGAAGACATACGACGATGACCGAGACTGATGCTTCGATGCCAGACCAAATCAGGGGATCTGTAAAATCCCAGGTCGGGTTGAGCGAGTGCGTAAATGGAGCGAGGTAGTGCAGTCGGATACAAGCAGTGATGAGAATGAATAACCCGAGACTGAACATAAACGAAATGCCGACTTTTGAGCGTTTGGAAATATTCAATCCCCACAGCAGCGGAAGAGGCAAGACCAGAATAATGAGATCGTGGCTGATGCTAAGGCCTCCCGCAATATTGACCAGTCTGTGAAGATCCAGGCAGCGATATGTACCGAAGTCTCTTTTCCAACCATCCCAGTTGAAATTAATCGGCGTGCATTGGAAAATTTGCAAAAACAGGATCACCATCATTGATGTAACGATATATGTGATGGTCGCGTAAGTTGCCCTTCGAAAGGACTTGTTTGGGAATATTCTGAGATAAAAGATGAGCACTGATATCTTAGTCAAAGTTATCGTGGCTAAGTAAAGGGGTTCGTCGATGAAGAAGAGCTGTAAATGTCAACATGATGTCCAGCTGGAGTCGGCAAGTGTTCATACCTTCAACCCCAGCGTGAGCTTATCTGGCTCGACCATCCAGATGTCTTCTCCAAAAGCTATTGCACCAGCTGGGTTATTGTCAGCGAAGACCTGAAATGGTGAGACCATGGGACATACCAATTTGACCAATAACGACCAAGACGATGAATATGACCTAAAGTTAATCAGCGGATGAGCTGCTGGAAGGTTTCTCAAGATCGGACGTACACCGCAGACGATCATGATCCAGTCGTCGGCTTCCAGTCGAGGCATCATCGTCCATCTCGCGTACAGTCGTAACAGGACGGCCAGGATCCCAGCAATTTGAAGAACAAGTGGCGCCATAATGTCCACCTTTCGGGTGCGAATTGGCCGTCCACATGCCTTGGCCTCTACTCTTGCAACATCTAGAAAGTTGTCAGTTGTAGCTGTGGTCAATGTGCGGATGACCAACCTATAGCATCTACTGTGTCACAACGCTGAACAAGACACGCCTGCATACTCTCCCGCAGACTATTATCACTACATATGCAGGTGTCATTTGTCGCGATCTTACAAGCTGATAGCGGTAGCTTTTCCAGGATACAGTCTAACTGTGTGCAGATAACGATATTAGCACCATCTCAGGAGGTTGAGCCATGGCAAAACCCACCCCACACTGTGGCAAAACGCCTGCGTACTCTATTAACGATCCCTGGGCAGCCCCCCAGGAAGTGGCCATAAGGCTGAGCCATAGGAAATGTCTCATTGCAAGCGATACTGCCGCTGCTGTTGTCCCTGATGATGACGTTAGTGCTGTGGGAGAGAGTCAAAGAGAAGAAACAAGAGAAAAGCACGAAGTCGCTGGCCGTGGCCTGAATAAATCACACTCGGCCGGCAAGTAATAATAAGAGAGGCATGCGAAGATTATGGTAGCGGCAAAACTTGAGTCGGTTACTGATGCTATCAATCTTAGTGCGGGAGCACATCGTTCCCTTTTGGTTCCCAGGACGCAGGACCCCTAATTATCCCCTATACTAACACAGCCTGGCTAGGGGGTCGATTATCGAGTCAGAAAGAAAGAAGCCGAAACAAAAGGCCAACACAGAATAATACCGAGAACCTGTTTCTGACATGCACTTTCATGCGACTCAGGTGTGAGCACGGTTGTTGTGGTGAAGGAAACCTATTCGGAACCTAGACAAAGACCGGCCTGGACCAGCGGACGCTATCGTGAGCTAAACGCAGGGTTGGTGTGTAAGAGAGCATCGCGTGGGTTCGGAGGCTTCCGACCCGGGTGGCTTAATTACACAAAAGTCTTATGTACAAGAAGCAGTGGGATTCATACAGAGACGGCATCCAGTGTCCAGTTAGTTGCAAATAATAGCAGTGTTGCGTGATAGGAAGCGCTTCTCTGTACTTTTGGTTTCGTAGGAACGTGTCTCATCATAGGCAATGAATGTGATCAGGACACAATGTCTTGCCTTGATCGATCCCCTTCGCGCCGATCGTGATAATGTTTCATACTGCGAATGTTCGGCGGTGAGATCGACGGAACCGTCCGGACATACCGCCATGCACAGGAGCCGGATTGGGAGTTATGGAATCCGGCAGTTGGGGGTACTAGAAGTCGGCAGTTGTCGCCTCACAGTATGTTTTCGCGGTGCTAATTAGTCCTTCATTCTTGTGGCGCTCTAACGCAAGCCCCTCAAGCTGCTAGCACGCACATATGGCACCACACCCCTTTGCCACCGGCAAATGGTCACTCAGCTAAGACAACGTGCCTCGAACAAAGGCTTTGGCGCTTCAATTTCGCGCCATCCCAAACGGCGTGGTCAAGTAAACGTATCTTCTAGCGCACATCTGGACTTGAAAGTCCCAAGACAAGCCGCGATCTGTAAGTACGTCGGCATATACACGTTCATATGTATTGGGCTGCAAATTGACCTCACCTTGTTCCCTCTGCCCTCCTTCAAGAATCCCTCTGCCCTCCTTCAAGAACAACAGAGTTTAAGCGTTTTCGCCAGTGATTTTGAAATAGTTTTGATGCTCATACGAGCGTCAGCTTGGATCAGTAGTCAGACAGAAACTGCCTTCCGGATAGGTCTAACCATTACTTACATTAACATTCTGGGAACCTCTGTCCATGGCTGCGCAGTTGTCTGCACCTGTATGCTATTCGACTAAAGATTTCTTTTGTGACTATGGCATTCATGTGACCCTGGAATGACCGTGATGTCGATTCATTGTTGTGCTTCGCGTCGGTGAAAGACATGGGTAGCATACCGTGTCACGGATGCAAGGTTCCTCGCCGCAAGAGAAGGAGACCCCGTCAGACTCTCCGGAAAAGATGACTTCCCAGAGGTTTGATCGCCAACATCCACAATCTTTACTGAGGTAAGGCAGATGCCAGTGCTCCTTTCACAAGGTTGATCGACCTTCCGATGCCCATCCAAGCTCGATAAGGGTTATGTTGGTCAGCGGGCCCATGAGGGATTGCGATGGCGTTGAACCATCTGGAAGAGAAAGATCTTAGCTGGGGAAGGCAGGCGGCAAAGAAGATAGCAAATGCTCAGTTCTCAACACTGAAATGGTCGCTGGTGCTTAGAGGGAGACACCCACAGTAACGGGTGCAAAGACGCACCAACTCACAATGGTCAAATTCATTGGGTCGTGTATCACTAGCATCTCGGAACGTAATGGTGGCTGCTGACCGACACCATGCAACTCACGCGAGGCAGCAGGAACAAGGGTACATTATGAGCAAAGAGTTCCCCAAGCCGAGCAGCGCCTGTCGCGTCTATCAATACGTGCAAGCGAATATTCTCGGCGTAACGCTGCGCTTTGGCGTCACAATCACCATCCGAATTCTCGCGTCTAGTGTCTACATAGGTATGTTCATACTGCTGGTTCAGGCTGTCCACAAAAGTCCAATCAATGGGCGTGTCACTAGTAAATTGGCCTTACTATTCTCATCGCTGTTTCTGCCAGGAGACAGCTACGTTTCAGCAAATCGTCAAATAATAACCTCTAAAGATAATGTGATGATGTTTCATGTTGCAAGAGCCTCCAAGGACCTCGCTTTCTTAAGCGGCCAACGCCCTCGATGGAGAACAAAGGCAAGGTACCCTTTTGACAGAACACTGAGTTTTGGATAGATGAACCGTTCGAAAGGGCACCACGTCGACGTCAAACCTGTATCGTAATCTTAATAGACCGCATAGTTAAGAGATAGGCCCATGTACATACTGAACAGCCTGACTGAGGGAGGCGTTCGTAGTCTAACATGTACAAGATGAAAGCTCAATGGTCAATCATCGGTAACTCGGCCTTGCCTTTCGTCATCACTCAGAGAATCACTCAGAGAATCCTTCCTAGCTTACCAAACACCACACCTGACTACATTCTTCTCAGATTAGTGGAAATACTCCTTTGAGCTTTTCCGAAAACTAAGAGTTGTCTCCCAGATGACGGGAGGGAAATTGATGGGTTAAGGGCTAACATGGCGTGTGATAAAGTCTCACGACGTTTGCCGCTGCCTAATTTACAAACAGGGCCGGAACCAATTCGGAGCTGAGTTCACGAAGAAGATACTGCAAGTAGCGAATCAAACAAGGCCAAATGAAGCGAATTCCTTCGATCGAAAGTCCCAATTCATTCCCCGTCAAACGTGCCGAGGAGCCGAAAACACCGAAAGCGCGTACTCTCCGAACTCCCCGACCGTGCTTCACAAGTGACGTAATCCGGATCCGAGGTCAGCGCAATGGGACTTTCGTTCTCTATGCTCTATCATAAATAAACCGCCAAGAACGAGTGAGCCGCAGTGACCTTCAAACCGACCGGCAAGGATCGTCTGTCACTTACACACAGAGCCGCTAGAACTCCCAAACACAGCTAACACCGCAACAATGTACTACAACCCAGGCGTAAACGACCACGGTCTCCCCCACGACCCCTTCAAAGTAGAAACCACACCCTCCCAATCTCCATCTCACGCACTAACCTCCCACCCCAGGCCTGCGTCGTCCCCCGCGCAATCGGCTGGATCTCAACCACCTCCCCCACCGGCCAGCATAACCTCGCCCCCTACTCCCAATTCACCAATGTCACCTTCGACCCGCCCATGGTGATGTTCTCCGCCAACCAAACCCTCCCCGACGACGCCACGCAGACCCGCAAGGACACCGTCAACAACATCGAGGCCACGGGCGTCTTCTGCTGGCAGCTGTGTACCTACGCGCTGCGCGAGGCCGTCAACGTCACCGCGGAGGCCGTGCCGCCCGACGAGGACGAGTTCGCGCGCGCGGAGCTCGCCAAGACCTTCTCGCGCGGGCTGCGCGTGCCGGTGCCGATGGTGAAGGAGTCGCCGGTGCGGTTCGAGTGCGAGTACGTGCAGACGGTGCGGCTGCCGGGCAAGGGCCCGATGGGGACGGTGGATGTGGTGTTTGGGCGGGTGGTGGGGGTGCATGTGGACGAGTGGGCGTTGACGGATGGCAAGATTGATGTGAGGAAGACGAATCCGATTGCGCGGCTGGGGTATTTTGAGTATGGGGTTATTAATGATGCTTTTGAGATGGTTGTGCCTGGGGATAAGAGGATGCTGATTGGGGTGAGTTTGGCGTCTTGAGTGATTGGGGGGTATTGCTGACTTTTGAGATATAGCTCTCGGGAAATGCGTCGAAGAACACGGATGAGGATTTGGAAGAGGCCAAGAGCTCATGATGCATATCAGGTTTCGGTAGGGGGTCGAGGCTGGCTTCATAGAAAGTCGACTCAGACTGGGCGCAAAAGATCTATAGATGTCCTCTTCTATGCGAAAGATAGATCTCATGCACTCTCAATATTGGAATTCTCTTCAACAAGATGCGCCAATGGCATGAACAGCTTCATCCCACCTCCATCCTTCGCCTTTGCGTTGATTTCTCTAACCTCATCCCAAGACATCCAGTACCATCCCGAGCACTTTTCCGGCTCAAGGTTCTGCCCATCATCAGCAAACACACATAATAATATCCTAGCATGACTTGAAGAAGGGTGGTCTCACAACTGGCTCAGCTTCTTCATCCTCCATCTCGCACCTCACAAACAGCGTCACATAATGCTTCCCCAGCTCTTCAAACACGTCATTCGTCACGCCGACAATCTTGCTCGCCTTGACCTTGAGCTGTGTCTCCTCCAGCGTCTCGCGCTCCGCACAGCCGAAAATGGACTCTTTAAATTCGAGGTGGCCGCCGGGGAGCTGCCATGTCCCTGCACATTGGTCAGCGACGTCGGCACCTAATTACCGTGGGCCAAATGAGAGGGCATAGGAACAGAGATAATTCCTCGGGACTTCTGGAAGTGAGGAATCTTCAGTAGCCGGTATCTGAGAGGGGGTTGACGTTACCTGCGCCGTGGCTACTCTCCCGCTTCCCAACCACGATCTTGCCGTCCTTGCGCTGGACGATCGCCGCGACGCCGATGCGCGGGTTCGCGAAGGGATTGATTGTAGTGACAGACATTTTTTTGCCAAAGAAACTCACTGACTGTGTATATCAGAAGAATGAAAAGAGGGCTCGTTGAGTGATCAATGCCCAGATACAGGGTGGTGAGTTGATGTTTTAAAGGACTCACTGAGTCACATCGGTTGTACCAGAACAGTGAGATTGGGCCAGTGAGAGACCGAGTGTGCCTCACTGCAACCAGCCCCCCTGCACCACCGCACCGCCACGGCAGACTCACTGTGGCTGCCTGCTATTTCGCGGGAAACAGCCTGCGAGCCTTGTCAAATCTCACTCAAGTTCTAAACCCTCTCACTCATTCTTATTCTACATTAAATTATATAAACTCGTTCACACTCACAATTACCAAAGCTTCATACACATCCAAACATCCACCTTACATCCTGCACTACCCCATCTCGAACCAAATCCGTCCCGCTCCAAAGTGGACTCCACCATCGCTCCGTCGCCCACCCTCAAAACCATCTCCCCCTGCTTCCTCCACAACAAGAAATGGTTTCGTGGTGTAGTTGGTTATCACGTCAGTCTAACAGATCGAGCGCATTCTCCGAATGCCCTCGCCTGGCACACTGAAGGTCTCCGGTTCAAGTCCGGGCGAAATCATGAGCATTGGGCGATTGGTTTAGTGGTATAATACTCGCTTAGCATGTGAGTGGTCCAGGGTTCGATTCCCTGATCGTCCATCTCTTTTTGCTTTCCGGCTGGGGATCGTGATAGAGTTTTTTTTTTCTGTATGCGGGTGGTAAGGGTCGTAAAGTGGTTGGTGGTTAGGCAGGAGGGATGTCGGTGAAGTAGTTGGTGGCACAAGATTGGGCGTTGTAGATGGCATCGACATGGTAAAAATACATCTCATCATTCATTCATTACCTCTGCTTGCAGTGGGTATCATTACATAGCCTTTCCAAGGGCCGTCGCGTGAGAGGAGACATTTCCAAAGAACTCACCCCCCTCTACCAGGCCCCCTTGGCCGGCATATTCTCCGGGTCCATCTCGAACCCCTTGATACTCTCCTGCCAGTTCTGCCAGTTGAAGTCGTCCAGATTATCCATGTTGACATCCATCGTGTCCATGGGCACGTCGTCGAAGCGGTTGTTGATGGACGTGAACGGGTCGGACCACAGCCACGGCGGCTGGTTGTCGCTGAGAGACGACGCGATCTGCGGCTGGGACGTGGCGGCGATGGCCTGCTGCCTCTGCCTCCGCTCGGCGTCGGTCATTTGGGTGTTGTTGGAAATAGCCGGCGTGGGTACGGCCGTCGTGACCATGGGTGGCTGCGTTGCCGGCGGCTGGATCGCGCTGGGCGGGAAAAGTGTGTTGTTCGGGTCTGCGGCCATGGACTGCGCGGTGGGATAGATGTACTCCCACATCTCGCTGGACGTGAAGCCCGCTCGGGACATCATGACCGTATCAAGCTCCGAGTCTTCGTCGGGCATAACCACCTGGCCGGAGAACATGTTGACGGGCTCTCCGGCAGGTTTGGGTTGAGGATATGGGTCCACCGTGGACCTCTCATTACTCGGATTCCTCCGTTCGGCGGGTGGCGGTTGTGTCATGGGGAAATCTGCCCGAACCCCACAGAGCTTCCTCCATCGGGTGCGAATCGCCTGTTGTTGGCTCTCCATGCCGGGCACCGGGCCCAGTCTGGCCGGGATCGTGTCCATGCGGTCTTCGACGTCGAGCTGGCGGGCGGCCTCGGGGTTTGCTCGCAGACGGGCAATCTCAGCCTCGCGATGCTTCGTGGCCTTCGCGCTGAGTTTTCGCAGCGGCATCCACACAGCCATGTGGTCTGCCATCTTGGCTATCTCACCAGGGTCCTGATCGAATCTAATGGTTTTGTTGACTGCCTCCCAGCCACGCTCAGAGGTGGCTGACCACGGGCGGCGACCGGCCTCCATGAGGATGTACGCAATAGCATGCCATTGTCTGTACGTTTGGAAAAGCCACCGCCACTGACGGCAGCGAGGGTCAGTATTTAGGATATAATTATACTCGACAATTTCGATTGCTGACACAAAAAGTCTGTCGCGAATCTCGCCTGATAGTTCGGTCCCGTTGCCGGGGAATAGCATGGGTTGGTAGATGACCAGGCTCATCTTGGCCATGATCACGCGGGCGATCATGGCCGCCATCCAGAACAGCGGGTCGTCATCCGTGAAACAATGTTGCAGGAATTTCTCTTCGACGCGGTTGTAAACTTCGATTAGCTTGCTCTCGCGCTGTTCGAGGGTAGAGGACGCATCACGCGGACAGACACCCGCCATTGCCGAGCCGACGGTGTGCAGCCTTCTCGACAAGGCGCAAATCTCGTAACGAACAAGTGAAACCGCACAATCCGTCCTGCCTTGGCGTGGGGTTGGCGGCTCGATCATTCCTGGATCGATATCCGAATCATTAAGGTTGGACGGCAGCTCCGTGTCAAAGGAGCGGTCGATAATGGTAAGATCGCTACCCAGTTCCTCGGCAGAACGCAGGTCGAGGGTGCAGATGGCCCACCACAGGCGGCGCCTCATTTCTGTTTCAAAAGGCGGGAGGTTGAAGTTTGTTCCGTCGCGGTGGATGCCCATTCCTTGCGCCATGCGGATTGCAAGCCCAGTGAGCGTCCAGCAGAATCTTGTGTCGTCTTGGCGGCGTACAAGGGTGAGGAATAGGACGAAGGCTTGCAGCACCACGATATCCGAGGTGTTGAGGAAATTGGCCTTTGCGAGGGCCTGTTCGAGCGCAAAACGGTACTGCGATAGCATCTCGTCCTTCTTGGAGCCAAAGTTCTTCTCGACCTAGCTTGGTGGTTAGCTGGAGCCAGTGTGTCGAAAGGAGAGGCACAAACCTCCTCGTCTTCCATGGATGTAATGGCGGCATAATAGATGGAAAACAACAAAGCCTCGTGACCGGCCGTAAGATCGTCCATGTTGCGTCGCATGTCGCGAATGAGTTTTTCCATCGTAGGAATATGCAGAATCTTGAGTAACGGCTCCACGTTCTCCTGGTACACCTGCCACATGAAGGGTATTTGCGACGGCAGTGGATGCAGCTTGCGCAAGTCAACATCCGAAGATCGGTATCCCAGTATAAATGCGTGATGATCGGTCGATGCGTCGACGGCGTGCAGAGGCGAGTGATCCGGTGTGTCTTCCTGGTCAGACTCGTCGCTGAACTCTTCGTCGAGGATGCGCGCCCGTTCTCGAAGTTCGTCGAGCTGTAATACCCTCGTCAGCTAACGAAACATGACGGCTCTCGACCGACTCACCTCATCATTCAGCTTGGACCAAAACGCGCTGCTCACGTATCGGCTCGTCTTTCCCTTGTCGTGCAACACCAAGCGGCCAAATGACTTGCTGACGCTCGCGGCCTTGGGCTCCATCCCCCTTGTCTTTTCTTCGATTGCGTCCAACTTCTTCTGCATAGCAGCCCCGTCCGCAATTCCTTCCCTTATCGCATTTAATTGCGCAGCAGTAAACGTCCTATTCCCCCGCTCTGAAGGCGCCTCGTGGCCTGTGGTTTCGGGAGAGTTGCCGGTGCTCGAGTTCTGGCGCCCGCCGCTGCTTCCGGGGCCGCTTTCCACCTCGATCTGGCCGCTCAGCTCCTCGACGATGCCCTCCAGCTTGCGCAACCGCTTCATCAGCTCCACCTCGCGCTCGGTCGAGTTCTTTGGCGGGGCGTTGGGGTCCTTTGGGCGTGGTCGGCGGGGAGCGCGGCCGGGGGCGGGGAAGATGCATTGGATGACGGCGCGGCGGCAGTTGCTACACGGCATCTGCTTGTCGCAGCGGACCTTTCGCCTTCGGCAGGTGACGCAGCTGCGCGGATTGAGGGCAGGCTGGCCCGACGCCGTCATGGCGACAGGCTGGTCGGGGGGTATAGATGTTGCGCCATGGCGGCTGAGGGCGGGGAAGTCTGGCGCGGTAGAGGTGGTCGGGGAGGCAGGCGAGTGCTGGGGGTTGTTATTGACGGTGGTCGCAGGAGTCGTGGGATTCGACTGCTGGCTTGCTGGCGAGAAGTGCTCCATCTCCATGGCTGGCTTCGTGGGCCGATCTGTGCGGCGAGGGCTGTCGAGGGGCGGCGGAGAGGAGAGGGATCACAAAGGTTTGGATCTGAGGGAATCGACTCGAGGTGTGACACAAGTTCGGGACGCTTTGGGGCTGACAAATGGTGGGATTCGATCCTGCGACGGCGGCTCTTTGCGCTCTTGGCTGCTTACCCACGGCGAGACGTGAGGCGTCGTTGCGCGGCTAAATGGGTTCTGCTGGCATTATCCGGACCCGCGAGGACGTCAAGGAAAACCAAAACCCAAGGAAAAGAGTATGTTGGTGTTGAGTGAGGTGCAGTTTGTGGTGGTGACGAGTGTTGGGGCTGCTGTATTGGCAGAACGAAAGCACGCCGACGCTCGCTGTTGATTGGGAAAAAAAGGTCCCAGTGTGAGTCGAAAGTGGGGGAGGCGGGAGCGCTGCGGGACACTCTGAGCCCAGCGTCACATCAGTGCAAACAGCGCAGTGGGCCCCGAGAGGTCGGAGCTTCATGCCGGCGCGCCTATGATCGGCCGGCTTTGAATGTGAGCCTTCCCATTGGCCATCTCACCTGTGCCCCGATGCCGCATTCGGTGACCCGGTCTTCACCTTGACACACCGAGAAGACCCTGACTCACATGGCAGACCGACGACCGGTGACGGCTCGGTGAGGCGAGAGCAGCTTCCGATATCCTCGGATGCTCCCTAGCTGGCCTCGGCCAACGTTGAGAGACTCGGATCAGCCTCTCACCTACGAACTTCAATATCCGCCAAAATTTTCAACTTTTTCATGTCAGACCAGAAAACATAAACACACAGGCCATTGTCCGGTTCAAGCTCGAAACTTGAGACGATTCTCGTCATTGACGCGACCGCGGCCTGCAACCCCCGATAACTCCGAGAACGGCGCCTTCTGAGACTTGCCCAGCCCAGCCCAGTCCAGGCTTACCAAGCTTGCACAAACTTCGCAACGGCTAGCGCAAATCTGCGTATGACGCATAG